TTGCGATCGGCAAGTGACTCCACGTGTCTTTCCCAATCTCGGTCCTGTCGTTTTTTTGAACGTGCCCAGGCCGCGTTGAGTTCCTCCTCGGTCGGCGCCGGTGGATCTGGATCAACACCTGGCTCGTAAGCTTGGCCAACAGTTACGGAGTAGTTATAGGGAGGTCTAGGAGGAGCCTTATACTTCTTTTTGATTGGAGGACCTCCTTGGGGCGCACGTGCAGCCCCTTCCCGCCAGGGTGGAACTGCTGATGCGGACCTACTTGCTGCACTAACTCCGGGTGGAGGCGGCTTAGCTTTAGCTGGTTGGGATGATGATCTAGGTGGCGGCGAACCTATTGATTTTGGAGGAGTCTTAGGTCTTGGGATATCAGGGACAAAAACCTCGGCTTTGGTGCCGTCTCGAAAGATTTGGGTTTGGATTGTACCTGAAACTCTTGTTGAAGAAGTTGTTACGGCAACTGGAGCCTCTTCCTCAGCTGTTGTGTCCCTGTGACGAGATCTAGAACGTTCAGCACCTTTTGCACTGGGTGACAAAAACCTACTAACACTACCTCTAGTAGTTGGAGCTTTCGGCGATGCCTGCGATGGTGTGCTGGGTTCTTGAGGCGCTAAGGGAGCAGCCCCTTCCTCAACTTCTACTTCAACCTCAACTTCCTCCTCGCCCTCGGGCGGGGCTTCAGGAGGGTCAGATGAGTGATCCTCTTCCTCTTCGCCTTCTGGTTCACCTGGATCGGAGGGATCTGGGTCCTCGTCCGGTGCCTCGGGCTCAGATGGAGGCCCACCTGGCGCAGCAGCAGTTGATGTTGGTTCGGGTTGAGGAATTGATCTACGTCGAGATTGATAAACCTGCCTACGCCCAGAAGAAGTTGTTGTAACAATAGCCCTTCTTTTTGGTGGAGGAACTGTAGTTTCTTCTTCTTCTTCAACCCCGTCAACAAGCTCTGAGTCTACAGCAACTAGACCTTCAGGTTCAGAGATCGGGATAACCTGGGTATTATGGGAGGATACCAATGCAGTGTTGCTACCAACCAATGACGGATCACGCCAAACTTCGTCAGCAAGTTCGTGGGGGTCAACGGATGATGTAGCGGTGCCAGGAATGGCAACAGGAACAGTTGTGGGTTCCCTTCCTACAGAGCCAGGCGGCTTTGAGATACGCACCCAAGTGCCCTCAGAGTTTATTATCACAGGAGGATAATTATTATCAGTGGGTCTTAGGGCTATTGGTCGGGAACTAAGACTAGGGGTACCTAAGTTACCACCCCTTGCACGGCGTAACACCTCAGTGTCCTGATCTGCAAAAGAACCGTCAGCTCTCGGGTGAGAGTGGCTGGAACCCGTGATCTAGATCGGCTCACTGGCTTAGGCGCAGCAGGTGCTGACGCAGCTGGGGTTTTATCGATGTTACCACCTTTAACTTTTCGGGCAGGGGGTGTGCCAGCTCTCTCACGTGGTCTCCCACGCTCTGCCTTATCCAAGTCAGCCGCCGATGGCGGTGGATGAGATGGTGGCGGAGGGATCGCTGTTGCAGCCCCTTCTCCTTTTGGCGTTGCAGCTCTTGGCGGCCGCTGTGGAGGAGGTCCTAAAGTTTGGTGGAAATCTCGATGTACAGGCACCGGTGGTGCTGGATAACTAGGTGCGGGTCCTAATCTTTTTAAAGGATTATCCTTAGGGGGCTTAGCAACTTTGGGGTCCGATGCTTTAGGCTTGGCCGGTTCTGGCACGGATGCTTCGCCGGATGCTTTTGGATCGGATGCTTGCTCAGCCTTTTCAGGTTTAGGGCGCTTTTCAGCAGCCCCTCCCGTGGCACGTGGCGGCGGAACACTGGCTACGGACTCTGAAACTTTCGGAGCGGGTTGATGGCCTGCAGGTCGAAGGGATGGCACCCACGGCGGTGGATGACTAGGTTCCTTGGGTTCTGACACTGGCTTAGGCCTAGCTTTAGCCTTCGGTGGGCCCCTTGGTGATGGAGTGTGGGTTTCTTCAGAAGAACTAACACCCCTATCTAATGCTGGGTCAACACCTAATGCTGTAGCTTGCTCGGATCCAGATGGTAGTTCAGTATTTTGGGTAAACACACTAGCTTTGGCTTTTGCCTTACCTTGTGGTTGTGGACCCCTATAGGTATCGTAGTCGTCCCAAACGGATCTAGGTGGATCTGGATCCCCAAAAGCTTGCAAGTTAATGTGATCCCTATCAGGTAGCACAGTATTTGCAGCAGCATCTGGAGCAAGATGCAATTCACCTCTTCGATATCCGTTGGTAAAAACCCAATTTCTATAAGGGGCAAAGGAATTAGCAAAATGGACTAAGATTTGGTTTAGCGTACAATGATTGTAGAGGACTCTAAAGACACGGACAGTCCAGATCAGTTCAGCACTTGCTTCTGAGTGATGGACGTACCTGAGCCAGAATTCTGCCTCGTTCCAAAGAAAGTCAGCTAGTTTATCAAAGTCGGATTGCCAACGCTGGATGAGCCTTTTGGTTTGGGCTTTCTTCCCGCCTTTGGTTCCACGTACACGGGGACCTCTGGACGGTCCTGCAGGAGAATGGCCTGTTTGGACGTGCCCAGTTGTTGAGGCGCCTGCGGCAGCCCCTTCCTGCTCAAGAAACGGTGATGTTGGGGGCGGTGGGACTTCGTCCTCTTCCGCTGTCCCTCCAAGGTGTTGGACGTATACCGGAGCAAATGTCGAATTAGGATCTGGCTCAACTACGGATGGAGAGCTTCCTAAGATCGGATCTGCGGCGGAGTCTGGAACCTCAGCACTAGTTTCCTGATCAGGGTTATTGGAAAAATCAGCTTCTTCTTTTGGAATTAGATTTTCGGGGTTATCACCTTCGAGATTATTTTCTGCTTCGATTTGATCGGATGCCTCAAGCTGTTCGGCTGGCTCGGCGGTGGGATCGAGGTCGGCCTCAAGTGCTTCAAACAACTGTTCAGTAGTGACTACTTCCTCCGGCTTCGGATCCAAAAGGGAAAGTGCGTCAAACTTCAAGATGTCAAAGTCCTCGTCGGCGTCGTCCTCTAGGGCGCTAGATGCAGCCCCTCCCACTTGAAAACCAGCTGTCGGCACGGGCGGGTCTTCAGAGGCGTCTGCCCAGTTAAATCCAGTACTACCTTCAACAGTGACTTCAGCGCTTTCAGCAGCTTCCGCCTCTGCTTCCGGGTTCCCGTCAGCAACCGGTTCGGAGGCGCTCAAAGCAGCCCCCTCCAACAGACCCTCTGGTACCATAAAAGGTGAAACAGGAAATCAGCGAAAAGTGAAAGGCAGTGAACGAGGTTGCGTGGGGCCTAAGTTACCGACAAGGGAGATTAAGACTTTCCCAGCAAAAGAACACTAAGCCAATACGGCTGATAACCAGAGAAACAGGGGGAAAAACAAGAACAAACCTATTAATCTCCCTTGTCCCATGGATCGTGCAAACGCCCCTTTTTGCGATGGGGCGCTTGAGCCAAGTAAGTTATGATAGGATACTATGACCAACCCTGCTGGATTAAAAGGTGGGGGTCAATTCCTATCCTATTTACATGGCTACACCTACAACTAACGCATCTAGTTGAGGGTTGCGTTACGATTGAGATGACTGTACAATCTATTAGAGTGTTGGTAAAATAGCTACAGTAAGGAGTGAACTAACACTAGTATATACAGTGGTGGTATAGGGGTCGTAATATTTCTACTTATAATATATATATATATATATAATCCCCCTTGCAATTAGGGGGGAGGTGCTGGACCCCTCGATCCAGTAGAGGGCCCCTAGGTCAGGTGCAAAAAATTCTTTACTAAATCAACCTCTGCTCTCCAGACTAGGATGTTAGTTTCTACAAAATCAAGAACCTTCCACAAAAAAATAATCTGACAAGGCAAATTCATCTTTTCTACAAAATCAATAACCTCACATGAGAAAGTATCAAGTAAACATATGGTGTGTTTTTTTAGTAAAAACCTCCAGGATGATTCTGTAGAGATTTTGGTTAGAGTCGATTCTGTAGAGATTTTTTGTTTGTCTTTGATTTTGTAGCATGATTTTTTACAAGTTTTACAAGTCCCATCAAAAGTCCAAAGTGCCTGTCTTTGATTTTGTAGCATGAAATTTTACAAGTTTTACAAGCCCCATCCAAAGTCCCAAAGTGCCTGTCTATCCTGTCTTTGATTTTGTATCATGAATGCACTTACAAGTTACAAGCCCCATCCAAAGTCCCAAATGCCTGTCTTTGATTTTGTAGCATGAGTTTGTTTACAAGTTTCACAAGTCAGTCCAAGGTTATTCCCTCTCACCATCTCTCACCACTACAGAATCAAAATCTGATGGATCCAAAGAAACATGGTCTTATGGAAATGATATTACTACAGAATCAAGAACCTGAATTCTACAATATTCTACATCTGATTTCTCTTTACAAAATCAAAGGCCCATACATGTTGGGCAAAAAGGGTTTCAGATGGTTTCAGGGGAACTATCCTTTACAGAATCAAATTCATTCCCTCTTACTATCTCAAAACCACTACAGAATCAAGATCTGAAGATATGACATTAAGGGGCATGCTTTACTGGAAAATCAAAGACCTTAGGGTGTCACAAGCCTGATCTCTACAAAATCAGTTGCATGCCCAAAAAGTAAGGTTTTGTGCACTCCCGGCTGACTGTTGGGGCCCCTGTCTACAGAATCATGGACCTACTAATATATAGTCCAAATATGTCCAAAATTGACGATTTTTGGGGGCTTACCAGCCCATGGCCTTTGATTTTGTAGCAAAGTAGGGGTGCAGGAGGGCTCTACAGAATCGAAGGTTTTTGGGGTGCCAACACCCTCGATTCTGTAGAGGAAATTGCAACAAGGATTATGTATATACATATAAGATATGCACTCGCGCAATCACTACATAATGTCCGCCTATTATTTTTTAATAAAATGAACACCACAGCACCGCAATTCATACTAACTATTACTAACTTCTGCACTGCTGGCAGAAAAATATGTCAATTGCGTGCCTGATTGAAGAGCCCTACGCCGTTGTTCAGCAAGTTGGCCAAGGCATTCTCCAAGGCACCCTGGGTGCGGGTGACAAAGCTCAACGGAGCGGCCAGTTGCTGGAACCTTGGCCACCCAAACGACCATCATTGCAAGAGGTATGTGTGGCTGTGTGCGTGTGCATATGGAGACAAATATGTGTGTAAAGATGTGTAAAGTGTGAAGACATGGCACAACTGTGTATATTATGTATATTGCCATGTGTTTCTGACTCTTTTGCCTAAGGTATGAACTTAAGTTGATTACTTGAATCATCTTGAATCAAATATAGATAATCTATGAGAATCTCCCAACATATACGGATTGGTATGGATTGGCATGGATCCACCTTCAAAACGTCCAAGTTTGCCGTCTCAAAAATGCGCCAAGGGACTTCATCTGCACAGACTTGAGCAGTGGAGCTTGCTTCAACATGCTGGTGAGACATTGCTTGGGTGCCACCATCAGCTGTGCAAGGCTTCGGGTTCCTGAGTGCTTCTGTTTGGTGAAGCTTGAAATTCCATTCCTGCAGTGAGGGAGGGAGATGCATGCACATGCGAATTTATATAAGTTGATCAATGTTAATCTATGTTTATCTCACTTCTGGTCGCATGCACATATTTATAATAATATAGTGCATACGTCATAAATCATAAATGATTATTGTATATTATTGTTGTACATCTTAAAACCATCTGCCAAAGGTTTGGACCCCCTGGGGCATTCTAGGCGCGATTGCTGGAACAGCTCGATGGAGAGACAGTCTCAGGACATTCTCTGGCCGCTATGTTTTTCATTGCGTTTCAAGGGTACCTCGACAGCTACAACATCAGCTGATTCTGTCTCATAACCATGAGACTGCATGAGACTGCTAGATACCTGTCATGATCCAAAAACATCCCACCGACATGAAAATTCAACCAGTACGGATCGCAATGGAACTTATATTTTCACCACATTTCACCACCAGAAAACACAATCCCCACCTCTCCCAACTTGACACCTGCCAAGCTTCCTGGCCATTCCCTGGCCAAGACTTGCACTTCTCCCTGGACTTCCTGGGTGAAGCGGTGACAACGGCAACATCATTCAAGGCCACTATCATCACAGGACATCACAGAACTGTTTCGCCTTTTTGTAGCATTTTTTGTAGCCGTCTCCGCTATGTCGTTGGTCCATGTTGGTCCCAAAAGGTCCAAAATGTCCAAGCGTCCAAGGACGGCGAAAGCACTGCCAAGTGCAGACTCATCTCTTGCTCCATGGCGGCTTGGGACTTCCCGCTCGACAAGTCCACAGCCTCCACCTCCCAACTGCGGTGATGGCATGGCTATGTACTGCTACTGTTGGGATCTGTCGATCAAAATCCCTGGTAGCCATTGGTAGCCAGGCGTTCTGAGCCGTTGAAGTTGGGCATCTCAATCTTGCAGAAGGAGCTGAGCATGATGACAAATCATGGCAATGATCAAGAATGCCTGCTTCCAGTATGTTTAACAGTATATGTCAGTATGGCAGATTCACATGCGACTACAATCTCCAATAGTCAATCAATAATTAATCCTCATTGTTTCTTCCGTAACTGCCCTGACTTGCATATCACCTTGTCCAAACTGTGCTGATGCTTCTAGATTCTACATCCTCTCAGCAGAATGAGCACCGAATCCAAGAGGTCTGTGTTTCCAGCCTGAACCTTGACGTCCACACCCAAACCGAAGGCTGGACGTTTTGCAGTGCCCCAGCTGACCTGCAGAAGCTTTTGAAACAAAGGGAGTCTTCCTAAAGTCTTAAGAATCTAGACTTTCCTCAGCAAACACTGTGAAAGCAAACCAAGTGTTTACCATCGGGCGAACTTCACTTCAAAACATATGATAGGGCCAGGAAAGGCAGCTGCACCTTGAAACGCAGGTCGTTGGGCCCTACTGCCGCAACCGGAGAGAAGTCAGACATCCCATCTGCGCCTGGACGCAACTTGAGACAATGATCCAGATTACAATTAATGCGATTACCATATACCTAGGACTCCATTAAACTGATGATAACTGATGTCATAAGCCCATAAGTACCAGTATGTACTACGTACCAGTCTTATAAAATTCTTATAGGACCTTCAACTTAACCGACTTAACCAAGTGAGGAACCCATAAGTGAAAATCCGTCATGTAAAATGTGGGGGCCTTCAATGCTGGCGGACTTCAGAAAGGCGGTCACCCTCAACTCGAGGCCTTGCCAGTGGCGCGGGCGTGACTCTCTCGCACAGGATTCCAACTGTACGATGAAGCCAGGCATTTGCATTTTAATGCGGTGATCTGTATAAACTCATTCATACTAATCCACAGTGAAATTCCATACAATTTCATGTAAATATTTTGAATGATCCTTACATACTCATAAATAGCTCACAACTCTGATTTCTATTGGTGAATCTGGGCACAAAAAGGAGCCTTAACGAGTTGATCCGGACTGCGGCCTGCGTCAGGCTGCTTCACAGTGGTTGTCATCAGGGGATTGGCCTCGACCCCCGGTGCCGGTCGAATCATGTCGAATCCGCTGCAAATTGCTCCATTGATCTCCATATATCTCCATTATTTTCAGTTATTTTCTCCATTGAATGCTCCATTGGATACCCGTAGCATCCCGTAGCACTGGCACTGTCCCTGGCACTGTCCCATGTCGCACAAGGCGCAGGTCCAGGGATGATCACGGTCTCATTGCCCTTCACTGCCCAACCTTAGGGTGCCATGGTCATCCCGAAACAGGAGTCAAGTATAGTCAAGTATAGTCAAGTACTAAAGTTACTAAGCTCATCTCAGGGGGGAATCATCACCTGTTTATTTTCTTCATTTTGATTCATTTTGATCATTCTTTGAGTCTCTGATCATTCCCACTCCCTGTTGAACATCTTCATGAGCTCAAAATCTAGTCTCCAAACATGGCATATTCACAACACAGGTGAAATCCGAAAATCTCGAACACATGGACCAACATGGAGATACTGTACCAGGGATCTATGGGTACCTACTGTAAGCAAGAACCATGTTTTTCATGTTTGAAAAACGCTAGCCAAGTTGCTCACAGCCTGATCCAAACGCTCGGGTCCAATGACATCATCCACCAACCAAGAGATCCATTCTGAGTGCGAGAAGCCGGAGCTGTTTCTATGACTTTGGGCCATTTTGGGCCAACATCACATCAAACTCACCGCGTGAAACCCGGTGAGAAGGCACAATCAAATGCAACTGAACACTGGCCAAACACTCCTCAAATAATCTATAACACTGGCATCTGTAGTAAAGTGATGTAAAGGATGGAAATGTATTCGTGCTTGCTTTCATGCCGCTAAGATCCGCTAAGTGCATGCATAGTGAAGTGGAAAACGACTTGACACTGCAGGTTTTCAAGCACCCCCAGTATGCCAATCCTATGCAGATTCAAGGTTTCACAGCTTCCTGTGGATGTTGTGTTGGAACACATGGAACACACCTCCAAAGAACATTTGCCAAGTGACTCAAAGTTTCGTCATGGGTCCAATCCACGGTGCCATCCTTACTGACTGCCTCCAAGGTGAAACCCAGACATCAAATTGGCGGATTGCCTACAGCCTACGATTGCCTTATGTTACTTTGCATGACACTACAAATGACACACAAATTCATACAAATACTACATATTACTACATACTATCAAAATCGATCAAATACTTCCTAGCTGGGAACCATCGGCCACTCATGGCCACTCTGTCCCACTCTATTTCCACCTTCAGGCGTCGCTCCGCCAGGAACAGGTTTCCCTGCGATCCGGCGTCGTTTTCTTCGGCTTTTGGGCGGTCACCGTGGTCGCCGTTGGCGACGTCCTCCACGAAATCTTCAAAGCTCTCCATGTCCACGTGGAACCACGGAGCTCCAGCCTGACACGGCTCTGAACATAGCCCGACACTAGTGTCTTATGAACACAAGGTGACTGGCCCATGATGGAAAATGGAACTCGCTTTCAACATAAAGTAACATATACATACATATACAGTTTTTCCATGTATGCCCAATACATATGCACATTATTGCACATCTATAATTTATAATTGATTATGTTTGATATGTTTGATAGGCTGCCAATAAGATCTGGTGGGCGCCTCCGGCTTGGCAGCTAACCCGGTAGATTTCAGCAACAACTCACCATCATCCGATGGCAACATCAGACGGTTGAAGTCAGCAAGCTTCTGGGAAAGCCTCAATTGCCGTGCATTTTGAAGCATCTGCGTGTCCTTGCATGCGCATATACTCAGTAGACTTTACCACCAAGAATTCAGCCCTTTTGCAATGACGTGAGCCATACGTGAGCCGCATCCAAATTTTGAATTGCAAGACAGGTTGGTTGTGTGAAAATACCCTCACGATCAGGCACCCACTGCCAGGCCGGTGGAGCAACAAAAATACATGACCACTCACATGGTCCACCATACGTACGTATAAAGATGTGTAAAGCAAGTACAATAATATCGGGGCACATGTTAATATATGTTGATATTGTATCAGCTGGTTTCGGTCAGAATTATATCAATTAATTATGAACTATAACCCAAGCCACAGGTTTTGATAGATTTTCATCACCTTAGAGTGTGCCATCCATTTGTTGACCGCTGAGCAGCTGTCCAGCTGCCATGGTCTTCAGCTGCGTGCAGGCTTGTGCGATGGCCTGGCTCAATTTTTTTCGACTATCGTTGTGGGGTTGGCTATGGCAGATATGGGGTTGTCTCCAGACTGGGAATGCGAAACAAATTGATGGCCGAAACAAATTGATACAAATTGAACCATATGAAATACTATGAAATACTATGAAACTATATGAAACTATGATTAAGCATGGGATTTGGGTTCCACATTTTGAGACGACCGCAAGCAGCACCTGATGCTTGATCAAAGCTGACACAGGCGTCTTGAAGATGTTGATGACATCGTAGATGATGGAGCCAGAGAGGGTGAGCTTCAAGTCCAAATTGGCATCGCAAGATGTAGCCTGCCGGGTGAGCCCCGGGTGAGCCCTTGGAACACGAACCCCAGCTAGGCACCCAGGGCCCTTGGGGATGTTTGAGGTCATCTCACCTCAACAGCCCAGGGCAAGTTCTGAGCCATGTTGGTTCCATGCAGTGCCACAGTGGCAGTGGAGCTTGGGCTGCTTTTCACCTGCAGTGGCATGTCGGCGCATATCACACCTTCCCAACATGCTACAATTGTTACAATGTTCTGGACGGCAACTTGAGAGAAAGATTTGGATGCTCTCCCCCACACGAGGAGCCAGGGCCGAACAGCCCAGGTACCCCAGCCCTGTGGCCAACCCTTTAGGATCCTTGAGGTATGGATTGCGAAATTTGCCCAGTGGCCACAGCTTGAAGATCACCAGAGCCGCTGACAATGGCCAAGCCGTGATAATCAAAGTGTCCATTGCAGACAATCCCGATGCCCTCCAGCGTGATGGACATCCCCACGTCCTGGACATTGAAAGAGGTGGACACATCTGCCAACTGTCAATTGGATCTCACAGGTCATGCACCAAAGTTGCTCCTCAACTGCTGACTTGATGTCTGAAAGCTGGAGATTCTGACCTGTCAAGTGGCCCCAAGAACATGAACCCCAAGCAGCATAGCACGACCAGGAAGAGCCAGGAAGCCTGCAAGTTGATGCAAAAAATGGCCAAGCTACACACCAAGTTGGAGACTTTGAATGTGATGCCCGCTTTCTCCTGCGTTACCTTGCAGTGGGCGTCAGTGGGCTTCGCAACTGAGTCGCCCTTCGCACAAATGACAAGTGAATAAAGCGCAAACAAGACAGTTCTTTCTGAATGAATCAAAATCAAAGTGAGTCATTGGACTGCCAGTAGAAACAGCAATCAGAACCACTGAACCGAACCCGCCAAAAGAGCACTTGGCACTGCTTGTTTGCCAAGCTACATCCTGCAGCGAGAATTTCAGGCTGTCCAGCCATTGGGCTAGGGGATCATCGAATGATGCGGCCATGGCAGCTGCAAACAGCATGCATCGGGCCAACATTCTAGGGAAGCTAGTCATGCCTTCGACACGACAGGGAGCCACTGAAGCTCTAGCTACGTCCAAAATGATAGGTCTATTTCTCTCTTGAGCCACGCGCGCGGGCAACCAGAACAACAAGTCATGCCAAAACAAGGCTACTGCAAAGCCATCCAGAAATTTTGGATGCACAGCCCCTCCCTGACGTCTGGAATCCAACCCAATGGCGTCACAAATCTGGCTCAAGTCCGTCATTGCTGGCAATGTTTGGGGTTCTAGTTTGGTCATTGACAAATATGTATGTCAGAAAGTCACGCATTACGCAAGTCAGCTGGCTTAGAGGACATGTACAATGTACAGGACATGCGCCTCTACAAGGGCAAGTGCGGCCCAAGTTGCACATGTCTCGGAGGCTTGGCGCGACATGTTGTGCCAAACGGATCTCTGCCACAAGGTCGCAAATGCCATTCCTTGACGCATCATGAACTCTTCAGTAGCATCATTCATGGAATTCAGTACACGTTGGGAAATGAGGAGTGCAATGGAGTGCATACATCCGACAGCGGAATTAGTGGGAGCATCCAATCACATGTAGGCATCTAATATTGGCTGCTTCAATATATTGCCGAGCCCCCGGCACAATGGCACAACTACATGATTGACGTCAACTAAGCTCGAGTCAGCAGCAGTTCATTCTGAACGTATCGCGCTCCAACCTCCCAGCTTTCTTCCCAATCCTCAGTTGCCCAGTCGGCTTAGCAATTTTTGCAGTATAACATCTGTAATATGAATCCTGCCAGTTTCCGACCAATGGGTGACAAACCATAGCACGACATTGACCATTCAATCCACGTGATGAATGGTGGATGGGAGCACTGCAGGAGAGCTGCCACCAACCTTGTCACCAACCCAGCGTTGTTGCACAGGTGTGGATCCACTCGCTCAAGGCCTTGGGTTGAGTTCAACAAAGAGATGGCAGCACTTGGAAACGTGGCAAAATCTGGAGTTGATCTGTTTAAGCAACACCCATCAACACATTGTCATCTACAATACAGTATGTAGCCAGATATATCCGAAAACATCTAAATACCCTCAAATCTTGATTGCCTGGGGCCCTCAAAAAAACTGCCTGAGGTACTTCAGACGAGCAGGTCTCTAAGCCTATGATTCTCCATGATCCGACATCCCTTCTCCATCCTTCTCCAGGAAAGGCATTGGACGTCCACTGCCCAAGCAACTATACTTGCCTCGTCCCTCTCAACACCCAAGACTCACATGTTGGCCGGGTTGCACTTTCCAATCTCACGAAGGTAAAGACGCATTGCCACAAAAGACCTTCAGAAAACACGTCTGCCGCTACACTGTGCAAAGCTGAAAATTGCTTGCAAGCAAAACGATCGACAATAAGATAAATTTGCTGCACCTTGGCATGTTGTTTGGTGAGAATTTCCACGATAACATAGCAAAATTTGAGTCACGAATCTCACGAACGTGGTGGCACGACTATTTCTCCGTCTGTTAGATGTGTTAGATTTCAAGCAATATCATGTGGGGTTCACATGGGTTAACAGTGCGGCGTGTTGATATCTTGCCGAAAACCTTACCCAAACAACCCGGCGAGTGCCAAGCAACTCCACCACGTCGCCACACAAGGTGCGCGCAGCAGCTGAGAGTTCCGTGCTCTGGCCATTCCTTCACGAAGAAATGGAAGGGTTGGCATCCCATCAGACTATGCTCCCCAGCATACATTCAGATTCATCATTGCTTTGGACTGGCAACAGGACTAGCCGACTAGCCACACGATCCCCGAGTGCACCAACATCTAACTGCACACTTCATGACTTGTTCCACCACTTCTGCGGCAAAAGAATCTTCTCCGCAAGGTCACAGCGCTGTATGGTCCGCACTGCGTCAAACCTCGAAGAGGAAATAGGAGGAAGAAAGCATCAATCATACATTGTATGCAATGATACAATGGTGAGCATACTCACTATCTAGCTACATACTATATCATGCAATGCCTGCTCCACAACGAGTACCTGATAGTAACAGTAGGAAAATAACATAGAATCATACAAAAACATCATCAAAACAGATTTTAAAATATGAATCACACATAAAAAAACGTAAACAACTAAACAAGACCTACTGAGCTTCCAACAGAACATCTGCGGGCAGGTCATCACGCCCCTTCCGTCGGAAGTTTGCCACCTTGGACACGCTTAGGAACTGGTTTGCATATGGTAACAATCCAGGTTGCATATGTTGTTTCTTTAATATGATGAAGGGGGGAAAAACGATATGATTTGAACATGAATCATGATTTATGATGATATTTGTGATTTATGTATGTTTAAAACATGATTTACATGACTTTGATTACTTTGATTTTGGCATTTTGTCTTGCTCTGTCACTTTGCAACTGGAATCAAACATACTTCAAAACTAGAAATCAAATGTTCACAATCTCAAAATATCCCAAAGTTGGATGCTCACCCAAACACACACCAGGGCACATCATGGAAATGAATCGTTCAAAGTCTGTATATATCTATTCTATACAAGCTGGACATCGGGTAAACGTGTGGCAGGGCTTCTTTCTGTTACAAGAATTTGCTCTGGGTACATGCCAGGAAGACACTGGAACCTGACTTACCCACTTCACGCAATGTATCCAAAGATTGATCGAATGTGTGGAGTTCTTGGCGGAAAACGGTTTCAAGTCCAGTTCAACTATGTATACAAATCATCGCAACAAATCCTCTATACGTAACATAGCTATGTAAATTGCTATGTATTATTATGTATATCATAGCTGTATGTCATTATAACCCGAACGGTCCCTGGTGTTCGCAATGGTCTCAGGTTGTCACTGAGTTCAAGTAGGAAATGCTCCCGACCAGGCGCCTGGCGTCGTTGCTCAGCGGTTTATTTCAAATTTTAAGCAACTGCTGACAACATAAAATTAAAAATAATTGGAACAGTAATTCATCATCATTCATCACACACTCTCTCTCTCTCTCTCTCTTTGTCACCATCGCCTGATGTAGGATTTTACTGTTCTAGCCTTTTTTGGGGGGCTAAAATCATTCGCACGAAGCTGACATGACGTCTTTGATGGTGCTTGCAACCCAACCGGAGGTTTACCAATTGGGATTGATACAGATTGATGATTCCTTTCGAGGCTTAAGTAGCCTTCCATATCTTCAAAAAAAAAATCATTATACAGTACCCATTTTTGAGGAATTGAAACTCCTGAAACAAAGAAAGGGGTTGCTATGCGCCATGCGCATCCATCAACGGACCGCGGCAAACGCGGACCTTTGCTCCGCTTGATACTCGGATCGAACCAGCAAGGCCTGGCAATGGAACATCCATGGAAACCCCACTTGCATATGGTTGTATAATTAATTATAGACATACATGTAAAAGCTATGAATATATGATATATATATATATATGACATTATTAAACCATATCTGGGTATATGTGTAAATAATTATATATATATATTATTATATGTATATTATGTATGCACAACACTGCAATCATCTGCAAGCCATTTATGGTCGGAAAATTATTTAAACAATATTGATGTTCCATTGCCAAGTTTCACTAGCAAAGTCCACAGTCTCGCCAGCCTTAAAACACCTTAACTGCTTCATCTCCCGCGCCTCGGTCTCACCATACTTCGCTTCAAGGTCCCTTAAGCGCCTGGGCGAGGCAAATGGAGGTGGTCAATTAAGTTCCTGATCCCCCAAACATGCTCCCCTTATGTCCCCACTGGTTTTAGGATCCCATTTTTTGGGGACCTCCATATCATCATATCCCCCATTTTAGCTGATATCAGCCAGGCCACTTCTCGCAGTCCACTGCTTGCACGATCAACTTGCGGGCCTCACGGCGATAGTAACGCTAGCATGGAATTTATAGGAACCCCAATAGCATGGGAAGATGATGGGAACGGGGGTCTTGGGGGTTGCGAATCAGTCTATTTGGAAATTGAACAAACCGGAACTAAAACAACGATTGCTTCATGTTACGAATAAAGCTTCTAAGTGGATCTAGCCCGAGAAAACGTGGACCACCTGATCTTCGATTGCAATGAGCTCGCTGATGTACTTCTTCTCGAAGGCTGCCCAAGCAACGTCTAGGGTCACCTGAGCAAACCGGCAGCGACAGGGAACGTAGTCAATCTAGCAATGTGGGAAACCCAATAAAAAACCTACCATTTGTTGATGCTTTTTATTGGATCTGGGGTTGCCACATTATAATTCTGTATTGAATCTACCTGAACCTATGTACTGATTGTGGGAAACACTATCCGTCAAAAAGAAACTATCCACATGGGGGTGGGTTTTGGAATGCCTCACCTAAGACCTAGCCGTCGCAGCTGTCTGCCAGCAGCAGGAAGATCACATGCTGTTTCAAAACAACTTGGTTGTGGAAACTTCCTGCTTGCTATTGCATATGTCTAAGTCTAAATATGCACAAGTGCTCAAGTGTTGCAGTATTCATATCTGTGCAATCTTATGGGTGTCTCATGTGTATCTGTGTACAGTGTATAGGTAATTAATGTGGTATGCTGATTAGTGTGGTGATCCTCTATTGTTGATTTTTGTTCCAAACTAATTCAGGCTCAGGGAAAATGATTGGGTGGGTCGGTATTGTTGAATTTTTTGTGGTTATGTTCATTTTTTTTATTTTTTTTAACGTGTTTTAAATTATGTTATAATTTGTTGTTTAATTTATTTCATTATTTCATTTTTCATGTTTTTCTGTTCTTTATTATTTATTTTATTTTTTTCATTATTTCATTTTTCAGTTTTTTTGTTTAATTTTTCAGTTCTTTTTCATGAGCAATATTGATCCTAAATAATTAATATGTTTGTTGTGGTGGTCCTCTATTGTGTCCAATCTGAAGAATTGTTTATTTCATTTTTTCAGTTTTTTTCATGAGCAATATTGATCCTAAATAATATGTTTGTTGTGGTGGTCCTCTATTGTGTCCAGCTGTTGTCTGAAGAAAACAAAATAAGGTTAATTATGACCCATCAGCAATAATTAATTGATTATATAGGGTGCCTTATTAAAACCCAATGTAAAAAAAAGGGCATTCAAACAATTTTTCAAGGGAGTAATCCATGAACAACCCTGATCCTCAATAGTATGTTTGTTGTGGTCCTCTATTGTGTCCAGTTTTTTTTTGGAAGTAAAAATTTACCAAAATCATTCTCTCCTTTCCTTTTCCTGTCCTTTGCCAATCCTGTTCTCTTTTTTACTTTCTTAGCTCCATTCTTTTGGAATTCTCAGAAATGCCCAATTTCCCAAAATGAATGATGCCTGGTAAAAACCAAATTAAAAGACAGCATCCAAACAATTTTCAAGGGGGTAGTCCATGAGCAACCCTGATCCTCAATAGTATGTTTGTTGATGTTTGTTGTGGTGGTCCTCTATTGTGTCCAGCTTTTTTTGGAAGCAAACATTTTCCAAAATCATTATCTCCGTTCCTTTTCCTTTCCTTTGCTATAGCTTTTGTCTCTTACTTAGTTCAATTCTCCTGGCATCCTCTCCTTGGTTTCTATGGCGTTTCTATGGGATCTTGACAAAATTTCTATGGAAATTCTATGTAATTTCTATGGTGTTTCTATGATATTCTATGCTGTTTCTAAAGGTGTGTCTATTGTAGTTCTGTGGGATTCCTATGGGGTTTCAAAAGGATGTCTATGGGATTTCCTTTGGATTCCTACGGTGTTTCTGTGGTATTTCTATAGGATTTCTTTGGGATGTATATGATATTTCTTTTGGATTTCTATGATATTTCTATGAGATTGCTATGGGATTAAAAAACATATGTCTATGATATTTCTAGAGGGTTTCTTTGGGAATTCTATGGGGTGTCCATGAAGTTTCTTTGGAATTTCTATGGTGGTTCTATGATATTTCTATGGGATTTCTATTGGAATCCTTAAGGTTTCCATAGTATGTCTATGATATTTCTAGAGGATTTCTATGGGATTTCTGAAGGGATGCTATGGGAATTCAATGGTATTCTTATGGGATTCCCATTGGGTTCCTATGAGATTTCTATGGTATTTCTATGATGTATCTATGGGATTTCTTTGGGATTCCTATGGGATTCCTATGGCATCCCTATGGGGGTTCCATGATGCTTCTATGATATTTCTATGGGATTATGCTATTTCCATGTTATATCTATGATCTGTCTATTGGATTTCTTTGGGATTCCTATGGGATTTCCATGATATTTCTATCATATTTCTAATTGATTCCTATGAAATTTCTATAATATTCCTATGGGATTTAAAAAGGATTTCTATGGTACTTCTATGATATTTCTAGAGTATCTCTTTGGGAATTCTGTGGGATTTCCATGAGGTTTCTTTGGAATTTCTATGGTGGTTCTATGATATTTCTATGGGATTTCTATTGGAATCCTTAAGGTTTCCATAGTATGTCTATGATATTTCTAGAAGATTTCTATGGGATTTCTGAAGGGATGCTATGGGAATTCAATGGTATTCTTATGGGATGATATTTCCATGGGATTACTATGGATTCCTGAAGAAATTCTATGAGATTCTTATGGGATTTCTGTGAGATTCCTATGACAGTTCCATGATATTTCTATGATATTTCTATGGGATTACTATGGGATGTCAATTGAAAGTAAGTTGAAATCAATTGAAAATAAATTCAAACTAAATTGAAATCAAATGAACATCCATTGAAAGTAAGTTGCCATCAGTTGAAAATCAATTGAACGTAAATTGAAATCAATTGAAAGTCAATTGAAAGTAAGTTGAAATCAAGTGAAAATCATTTGAACGTAAATTGAAAATAAAATTAAATCTATTGAAAGTAAACTGAAATCAATTGAACGTAAATTGAAAATCAATTGAAAGTAAATCGAAAATCAAATTAATCAATTGAAAACAAATTGAAATCAGATGAAAATCAGCTGAAATCAATTGCAAATCAATTGAAAATAAGTTGAAATCAATTGAAAGTAAATTGAAATCAATTGAAAATCAATTTAAATCAATTGAACATCAATTCAAAGTAAATTGAAATCAATGGAAAGTAAATTAAAATCAATTGAAAGTAAATTGAAATCAATTGAAAATCAATTGAAATGAATTGAAAGTAAACTGAAATCAATTGAAATCTATCATTTTTTCATTTTACACTATTCAGACCCGTGAACTTGAAAATTTCCACGTTAAAGAGACTCAAAGAAGTGTTTGGGGGGGGCTCCCCACACTAATCAGGATACTACATTATCTATCTATCGATCTATCTGTCTGTCTGTCTCTGTCTGTCTCTGTCTGTCTCTGTCTGTCTCTGTCTGTCTCTGTCTGTCTCTGTCTGTCTCTGTCTGTCTCTGTCTGTCTCTGTCTCTCTCTGTCTGTCTCTGTCTGTCTCTGTCTCTCTCTCTGTCTCTCTCTGTCTCTCTCTGTCTCTCTCTGTCTCTCTGTGTCTCTCTGTGTCTCTCTGTGTCTCTCTGCGTCTCTCTGTGTCTCTCTGTGTCTCTCTGTGTCTCTCTGTGTCTCTCTGTGTCTCTCTGTGTCTCTCTGTGTCTCTCTGTGTCCCTCTGTGTCTCTCTGTGTCTCTCTGTCTCTCTATCGATCTATCTATCGATCTATCTATCTATCGATTTATCTATCTATCATTATCTATCTATCATTATCTATCTATCATTATCTATCTATCATTATCTATATATCATTATCTATCTATCATTATCTATCTATCATTATCTATCTATCATTATCGATCTATCGTTATCTAATGTTATATATCTATCATTATATATCCATCATTATCTATCTATCATTATCTATCTATCATTATCTATCTATCATTATCTATCTATCATTATCTATCTATCATTATATATCTATCATTATCTATCTATCATCATCTATCTATAATTATCTATCTATCTATATCATTATCTATCTATCTACAGTATATCATTATCTATCTATCTATATCATTATCTATCTATCTATCTATCTATTTATCTATCTATCTATCTATATCATTATCTATCTATCTATCTATCTATCTATCTATCTATCTAATCTATCTATCTATCTATCTATCTATCTATCTATCTATCTATCTATCTATCTATCTATCTATCTAATCTATCTATCTATCTATCTATCTATCTATCTATCTATCTAATCTATCTAATCTATCTAATCTATCTAATCTATCTAATCTATCTAATCTATCTAATCTATCTAATCTATCTATCTATCTATCTATCTATCTATCTCTCGGTCTGTCGGTCTGTCGGTCTGTCTACCTGTCTGTCTGTCTATCTGTCTATCTGTCTATCTGTCTATCTCTCTATCTATCTACCTATCTACCTATCTATCTATCTATCTACCTATCTATCTATCCTATCTATCCTATCTATCCTATCTATCCTATCTATCCTATCTATCCTATCTATCCTATCTATCCTATCTATCCTATCTATCCTATCTATCCAATCTATTAAATCTATCCAATCTATCCTATCTATCCTATCTAACCAATCTATCCTATCTATCTAATCTAATCCAATCTAATCTAGTCTAATCTATTCTATCTTTCTATCTATCTAATCTAATCTAATCTAATCTAATCTATCTATCTTATCTATCTATCCTATCTATCTAATCTAATCTAATCCTAATCTAATCTAATCTTATCTATCTATCTATCTAATCCAATCTGATCTAATCGTATCTAATCTAATCTAATCTAATCTGTCTCTATTCATCTTATCTAGTATTATCTAATCTTATCTATCTATCTACCTAATCTAATCGAATCTTATCTAATCTAATCAAATCAAATCTATCTCTATCTATATCTATCTATCTAATCTAATCGTATCTATCTATCTTATCTATCTTATCTATCTTATCTCTCTTATCTATCTTATCTATCCAATCTAATCTATCTATCTTATCTATCTTATCTATCTTATCTATCTTATCTATCTTATCTATCTTATCTATCTTATCTATCTATCTATCTATCTACCTATCTATCTATATCTATCTATCTATCTATCTATCTATCTATCTATCTATCATTATCTATCATTATCTATCTATCTATCTATCTATCTATCTATCTGCTCTAATCTAATCTAATCTTATCTTATCTAATCTTATCTATCTAATCTAATCTAATCTAATCTTATCTATCTATCTATCTAATTGAATCCAATCCAATCTAATCCAATCTAATCTAATCTAATGTTATCGATCTATCTATATTACATAGGTTTACATTTTGAAAAGGCTCCACCCAGCTTTACACGTGCAGAAAATCTCTCTCCAAGGAGCTAAGGATGTTCGCATCTCTGTTCGCTGAGGTTTATCCCCAGGATCCCCTGCTTTCCAACCTCGACGAGGTGGGTCAGTCAGGTCAGTCAGGTCACCCATTACATGGCGAAACACCAAAGGATGCATATTAGATGTTGATCCCCTAGATGTTCTCATAGGATCTCATAGGTATGCGGATGTGGTTAAGACATGTTAAGACATGCTAAGACATGTTAAGGCACTGGAAGCACATACTTTGGCCACTTTCAATGCTGTTTCTGGAGAATTTTAAACTTCCAATCTTGGGGCGCCCGGTTTTGAACACCCATATGATACCCATATGGATAGCACCGAATCGAAAGTGCAGCACAGATACGCTCCAGCAAAGCACAAAGTTCAGACCAAGCTCGTTGAAGGTCCTCTGCACATTGCATGGCCTGGAGCAAGATTCACGGTAGTAGCTTCCAAGGATGCTTGCCTGGTGGCTTCAACTCAACCCAAGAACACATCACATACATCACTTAGTTGATGATAATTAAGTCTTCTAATTCTAGTCAAGTAGGGATGAAAAGTAGGAGGAAATAAGAACCGATTGAAATCACATGCCAGTGTAGATGTGTAGCGCATGGCCAACATTGGAGAGGTAGGGCAATCCGGGCTGGTATTTTGAAATCCGTCAGCTGCAACATTGACGGGCTCGGCTTATCTAATGAATGGGCGGCGTCAGGCGCTCTTTGAAGAAGCTTCCTGCCTCCTGACTGAACTCGAATTTGTCACCATTCACCTTAGTTTCACCATGTTTCACCCTACCGGCAGCTGCTTTGCCGATCCGAAAATATCTCCAGCTCTGTCTGTGGACATCGGAGTCATCCCATTGGAGTTGCGGAAATCACTGCGGCAGAGAGACCCAAATCACCGCATTTTGCTCCACGCTGGCCTCCAGAATGTCCACCCGATAGTTTCTGGACTCATCAGGAAACAGGGCACGGTAGTTGATGGTGAAGCTGGAGCGGTACCTCAAGGACAACATCTTGGAGTCCATTTTTTGACCAAGTTGACCCAGAAACCAGGGATCAAAATGATTCACTTTACAATGTCACGTTGCTGCAATGTGCTCTAATTACATGCCTTCGGGCAAAATTAATCTAATCTGCACCATGTATGAAAATATACGACAAGATAGATGATGTCGATGTCTGAAAACTGCGACAATCACTGCAAGATCCATCTGTTCAAGGCTCAAGGGAACTTGTAACTTTGTGAGGCACCATACCCCTCACCATCCTCAGACAAATAGTCTGTCACTTAAATTCATCCAAAACCAGATCAACAAGGTCCAAGTCCACTGCCATCACTTCCGTGGATGGACGTCGGACATGGAAAGTTCAACTCACCAAAAACATCCAAAAACCATGGTCCGAAGATGTCCGAATCCATCCGCTTCCCCGGTCACGATCGGTTCGCCGGTTCCAAACGCATGGCCCGAGCTGTGGCCTCCAGGCCTTGGGATCCGATGGCCCTATGTGGGGATGGATTCTACATGTTCGCACAAGTAGTATAAGGTCATATAGATTCATATAGGTATATACTTACACATATGTTACCAATCTTATATTACTATGGCACTATATAAGTTATAATATATATATATGTATATATATATTAGTTATATTATATAAAATGTTATGAAGATGAACGATGTGTACCCACTTTGCCCGGCCGTGTGGTTGAATCAGCATCCTGCATCTCAGGCTGGAACTTTCCAAAAAAACAGCTGTGGCGTTGAAACCTGACGCAGAAGGCTGCGATATGCTGCGATATGCGGGGGTATCGGCAGATTTGGCAGGCTTCACTCTACAAAAGGTTTGCAAGCTTGAGCTTCCCACCTGCGTCTGACTTGGTATCAATGTAGCCCTCTTCATGGATGAGCTTCCTCATATTCCGAACACACATGGAGTTCAGCAATCCTCAAACGGACCCCACCATTCCCTGCAACAAATAGTGTGAGCCACTTAACTTGACGAAGGTTAGAAGATTTGGGTCTTCCAAGCTGCTCGTCGATCTTGCACCATCCGTTTGATCTGACATGCTGTGACCATCTGCCAGTGGCGTGGAACGAAAGCAAATTTAGGATATTTTAGGTATGAACATCGATAACCACAGCGATCCGAAACATTTCATGTCCAACGTCACCAGAGATTCCCTGCCTAAACAAGTTTTTTTTTATAGAACCAAATTTCAAATGCAGGAAGTTCTGAGTGTGACAAGATGACAGGCCAAGGCACTTATAGTTGGTCATCAATCTGGTCAAGACTGCATCAGCACTGCCGGAACCATCAGTGTAGCTACCTGAGGGGAGCTGAAGCTGCACCTGAAAGGCCATGGCCACTCCAGGATCCCTAGCGAACGCTCCAAGTGACATGAAATACACCTGAAAGTGCCTTGCGAGTGGCGGAAACCCGCAAATGGTTGACTTAGTTTACTTTTAGAGATGGCGATCCAAAGGATTCCGCTAGTGCACAAAGGTACCAACACTGCAGGTTCACCCACCCAACCGGGTAGGTTCGAACTGCTGCCCAGCAACAAAGCAAGCTCTGAAACATGGCCATGCACTGAGTTCACACGGTGGCACCTGTGAACGGGCAAGGATTGATGGCAGGCCAAGGATATCAAGGATGGAATGTAGCCCAATTGTTTCCCAGTTCTTATGTTTCCCCCGGTTTTTTGTAGGCGAAATCCGCTGTATTATATAATGGCTGCTACTGAGTTGATACTCAATATTCAATGGTTCACCATGCAAAGGATGCAATAGCTAAGTACACCAGACCGTACCCCACACGATTACCATATAATGATGCATGCTGTATAAGTCATCAGTATAGCCACTCGATCGCTTACCCAAAATGTGGCAGCCACTTGTCAAAACTGGATTCCCCGCAATCATTGGTTTCCCATAAAAAGAAAACAACTAATTGTTCTCTCAGAAATTGCTTCCCTAAACGCTGAAGAAAATATCAACATTCAGGGATTAGGGAATACCTATATACTTGCATTTTATATATATATAGTATATTATAGCCACCCCGCAAAAAGATGCCGAACTTAGTTTCCTGTATGTGAGTTCGATAAAGTTTCAGCCGTACTCACATATAAATATATATATATATGTATGTATTATGTGCTTATGTCATTATTCATTTATTTATTAAAATGTACTATTATTGTTTTTTGTTTGTTTAATTGTTTATCTATTTATGGTTGTTTATTTATACTTATCATTACTTATCTATTTATATTTATCTATATTTACCTATAGTTGTTTATATTATTTATATATATTTATATTTATTTATATTTATGTGCATTTTTTTATTTATTTCTCTATTTATCTAATTAGTATTTATAATTTATATCTATTCCTGTATAGTTATTTATGTATTTGCACCATTGTTATTTATTACATCATATATATATATATAGTTATTATATATATATATATAATATATTTTATTTTCCAGGTTTCCAGCTTTTCATAGCTGTTTCATCTCTTTGGAGGTTGCCATACGTCATCTCCATCCTCCAGAACTGGGAGCCCTGGCTGCCAGGTCTCTGCCTGGTCTCCCACCCCGACAACTGGAGCCGAAAAGGCCAGGCCGCGGGCCACGACTCCGACTGGAGATGGGGGTGATATTTTTTGAATTTTTTTGATGGCATCTTAGCCTCAAATCTGGGGAATTGATGGGATTTTCACGGATTTTCTATGATTTTCTCATCTATTTCACACGAAGATGCTGAAGTCTGGGAATGATATGGCCATGCACCCAAACCCTCATCATACCTGTGCAGCCTGGGCATAGAACCGGCAAACGTAGGTGCAAATCAACGGCAAATGGAAAAGCATGGAGATATCAAAGCTGTGAGGCGCTGAGGGAATGCCTTCAGCAAATATACTGTGCAAAGCCCAAGCCTGAGGCAATGCCATGCCATAGGTTACATAAGTATCACATAGGTCACAGAAAAACGTGTCACTGGTGGTTCAAGCTGTGAATGGCCCACCCATAAGCGATTGGACCAACATGGACCAACTCACAGCTGCTCAGGATACACCCAATGAGATCTGGTGACAGCGCTGAACTTGATTAGCAAACACATCAAGTGCTTTACTGATCTTTACTGTAGTCCTGTCAGAAATTCTCAGAATTAAGAATGGTTACAGTAACAGCTGCACGTTCAGCTGCCCGGAACATCTTGAGCCATGAGGTGGGCGGTTTCGGCCGCGCTGAGGACTGGAGACTTCTGTGGCAGTTCTCCCAATTTACACCGTTGGTGTTTCGAGTGTCAATGGTCCTTGGCATCGATCGAAATCACTTGCCTCCAACCGTTTGTCATCTCAACCCCCAAAGGCAGAGATGTGGCTCCAAGCCCGTGGAAACATGCCGCAGCCCAGGTTTGTCCCAGCTCTTTTCCCACCAAGTTCTGCTTCGAGTGAGGCACACAGCCTTCAACCGCTTCAATCCACTACCTGCAGAAAGAGCCGCAGGCAGGCAAAAAAACCCAACACCCTTGGTGGAATTCGAATGTGAGTCCTATCCTTCGGAATTGCTTACCTTCTCAATCTAAAGACGCACAAAGCTCTATCACTTGCCAAGATGGTGCGGGTTATCATCTGGGTTTTCAACATCCTTCGACAATGATAGATCGCAAGCGTGATTCGAATTCCCAAGGCCACGTGACTGCTTTTGTTTTTTGCACAAATCCAACCAAGAACCCAAACCCAACACCCCTAGCGACCCTAGCAAGTCCAATCACTGTACTCCAAATCAAACTGACTCCAACCACAGAATCCAAGAACATCCAAGAACCTCATACCAATTCCACGATCAAATCTGACCATGTGCGAAAGGTCATCTACTGCCCGCACCAAGTACTCGTTTGGCTTCATTGCGTTCCTGGCTGCTGACTGCAAAAAGGTGAGCATCGAAGTGGTGTTTGCAACCGACCCATGCTGCATTCCTCAGTTCTCTCTTATGATTTACTGTGTATCATGATCCCAGGTGGTGACAACATCAATGATTTGAAGCCCCACTGTTGCTGCCATGGCTGTCACTTATTACACCAACTCACCAGGGCCTCCAATATGATTTGATGTCCTTCTCACGATACTGATCTTTGTATTTCCTAAGTGCCAATGGGAGCGGATGGGAGGACAAAGCCACATTGTGGGGAACCGGAGGCAATTCTTGGCTGCTCCTTCCGGGATTTTTCTGCATGGCAATCGGGGAACGTTCCTCAAATTCACTTCGAAAATGCATGGTAGACCGGTCCTCTATGCCCGTCACATCTGTCCGAGCTGAAAGAGCTCACAAATCCTGAACAGCATATTGCAATGGGCCCAAGCCCATTCAAATGGGAAAAGTCGTAGGTTTTGACATGTTTTTGACCCATCCCCACATTACTTCACCAGATCCATATCAATTCTTTTGCTCTTGGCAGCAGGGTGGGAAGTTCCTACCCAGCTGAGATTGGCGCTCCAATAGCTGTGCCAAGCTGTACCGCCTTACAAATGCTGGTAGGTATCTATATAATTTATACACTATATGTATGTGTGTTTATGCGTGTATACACATGTGGTTATAAGTTATGTGTGTATATATATAGTGGATACATATGCATTATTCAATGCACCTACATTGCACTTGCACTCAAAGTACTGTATACACATATATATATATACATATTTGTATTGAACGGCCCTTGGAATATTTGGATCTTAGATATCTTAGATCTGCTGCCCTCCACAGTTGCGCCCTGAGAGTGGAAACTCGCCAACCATTTCCCAGGAGTCTGCGTTCATGACTAGTTATAGTTACCTATGTTACCTTTCATATTATCAAAAATGCGGCATTACTAGTTACAGACCTTTCATCATCAAAAATCAATCTTGTAATTATTCGAATTATATAAATATATACATCTAATTACTCCAATCCCATCATATCATCATGCAAAAATCAATCTGGTATTCGAATTACATCTAATTATCCTCTGGTAATTTAACATAGCTATTGAAAATGGCCATTGAAAATGGCTATGTTAGTTCACCAGAGGGTACTCAAATCATCTCAAATCCCATGTCTGGCAATTCTTCAAATCCCAAAAAGCCAGGTCACTTCCCGTCAAAGGGATCGATTCGTCGCTCATGGACCTGACCGTTAAAATTCCACCGGAAACCCATGGGTTTTGCCCATGGTTTTTGCCCATGAAGTTTAGGGGGGTCCTGTAAATTGTGCCCTCCAATCCAGCTGAATAATATATTAATATCATTTTGGCTGGAGATAATCACTAAGCTAAATCCCCACAGGGATGAATATCAAAATAGTTTGAATCAGTTTAACGTCCCTGCAAATGTGGTATGAGATGATAGCGAGGGCAGAAAATGGGTTGGCTTATGGCTTACCCTATATTCCCCCCAATAAACGCATCCAGCGGGTCATTCTTCATCGAAGGTGACCTCCAATGGCTCACCGGCAGGAGAGCGTTCACGCCTTGGCACCAGCAGACTGGCTTGGAGATCTTGGAGGGGACATGCCACCTAATTTGGGGAGGCCATGTTCATTTCTCACCTCTTTCTCACGTGTTCATACTTTTTGGAGGCACCCTCCAATTTATAAAGCAGGGTCCATACATCTTGCGGTGACTCAATGTTTCAAATAGTTTGCACGTTTGCAATGTGACTTGACTTTTCCCATCTTTTGAAGTTTCTGTTTGCATGACCTTGGAAGGAATGTCTTGACTCTCAACACATGGCGGCGAGAAGGAGAGCTTGGCATTTGGACTTTTCCCTCTGGATGTTCTCGTCAGAGATTTCCTGACCCGAACACAAACGAACTCGCAGCAAAGTGCCTTCTGTTCTGCCCCTTTTGAGACATCCACTAACAGGCATGTCAGTCATACAGTTAGCCTTGAAAAATATAACAAAATACACCTGCATCTGAATGATTCTGAATGCAGCCATCAAGTCAGGCTGCATGGTGTTCCAACCTTGGGCATGACATCAATCTCGCTCCAAGCTTTGCAGCGCCATGTGGGGTCCTGCGGCTACAAATACTTCTGCCAATAAACTAACGAATTTAATCGAATTTAATAGAGGAAGTCTTCTCCTAATTTTGAGAGCAAACTTCCTTCCACTAATTTTCCATGCAACTTAAACTTCTCCAGATCGTTGACAAATCTTTGAGCGACCCTCACCCAGTCCAGCCATTGAGCCATCACAGAAGCAGACCTCAAGCTGTTGGAAGATTCAACCAGCTTCTCCAGCTGCATAAGGCTGTTTCACATGCTGGGACCCAGAATCAAAACCGAATTACTGCCATTTTGATCATTCTACAGGTGGTTCTATTGATTTCATGGTCACTTGCTGAATTCATCTGAATTCTATCTACTGCAATTAACCTATCCGACCCTCTTGTCTGCCCAAATAGCACCTGAGGCTTGCGCCAGGGGTCCAAGGGTTGCAACTTGTCCAAGGCCCTTGGACGTGTCAACATGCAGCTCATGTGTCTATCTGAAAACCGGGGATACCCCAACTTATTATGATAACTTGTGGCAATATTAATGGGGAACATCATGATTAATCTTCAAATTTGGGGTCGGACAAACCGGCATGTAGTTTTGGACCCAACTCATTTTCCAAACATGTCTGGAGGACACAGGTGTCACTCATGGCTGCGCACGTGTACTAATTATATCTACTTATATAGCTGGCAGCGTTCCAGAAATGATCCAAAACATGTCAAACCCATATGCAACACCTCCCAAGGCAAAGAGCCGCTGTCTTTTAAGCGCATCCTTGGCAGTTGACGGTCGGCTCGTTGAAAGCATTGGTTCAGGTAGAATTCTGTAAATCTTCGATTTTGGAAGTGGCCTTGGAATTGGCCAGCCCTAATGGCGGCTATAAGCCCAGGCAGTGGGATAAGCCATTCGCGCTTGTGGCATGGTCGACACCGCCATGGCTCGCGGCATTGGCGAGACACGGGGGGTGACTGCTGGAGAGCCCACAACACGGGACACTTGAACTGGGCTGCCAGCTAAACGAGGAGTAATCACTTGGCGGACCCCATAGTGTGGAGACGCCAGGACTTGCCGCGGTGTGATCTTTGGGTTTGAAACATTTGCCATGTTGGACTCCTTCACCTTGGCAGCCGCACGTTCAATGGGTCTCTGGTCCAAGGTTGAAGCGCCTGGCTTGGGACTTGCTGGTGGCGGTGGGGCATCCTTCTTGCGCTTGGCCAAGAGGTGATAAGTCGCCGCCACACTGGTCTTTTGGGCCGTATTGGCCACTTGTTGGCGGGTCCCGGAAATCTCCTCAAAGCGACCAACCTCTGGGGAAGCCGGGGCAACATGGCTGGGGCCATGACTTCCATGACTTGCGTCCACCATGGTGAATCGCTTGTGTGCATCTGCTGGGCTGTCCCTGGAGGGCGCCCGGGCTGACATGGGGGTTTGCCTTGGGGTGGCAGGGGCTGTGACGGTTCCGGTGACCATGTGCCGCGAGACTGGGACACTGCTCAAACGAGACACTTTGCTGCTCATCGGACGAATGATGTACCGAGCTTGACCATCCAGGCACATGGACGAAGGTACAACTGTTGTGGGAGGGGTACCTTTCTGAACTGCCTCACGTGTCGTGCGTGCATGTGTGCCTGGTGACAGCTGGGTATCTTTTGGTCCATCATGCGATGGAGTTCGGCTGGAGATTGGGCTGACGTGAGTGGCCGTGGTCATAGGCCTTGAAACGGATGCATTGGGAGTCACAGCACGAGATGAATTGGGTGATGCTGCCTGGGGATGCTTGTCCGGAGAGAAAGCCCGCCCGGAAATGGAGGAAGGGGACGGGGGCGCGCAAGGCCTCGACATGGAAGCGTTCGGTGTCACCACCACTGGGGAAGACTTGGGTGTTGAAACGTGGGGTGAAGCCATCTGAGGCGAAGTCAACGTAGTGACCTCGGCAGAAAATTGCATGCAAATATATTTAATTATATATATATAATGTGTGTATGTAATTGTATGTAATTGTATGTAAGTGTATGTAATTGTATGTATGTGTATGTAATTGTATGTAATTGTATGTAATTGTATGTAATTGTATGTAATTGTATGTAATTGTATGTAATTGTGTGTAATTGTATGTAATTCTATGTAATTCTATGTAATTCTATGTAATTCTATGTAATTCTATGTAATTCTATGTAATTCTATGTAATTCTATGTAATTCTATGTAATTCTATGTAATTCTATGTAATTGTATGTAATTGTATGTAATTGTATGCAATTGTATGTAATTGTATGTAATTCTATGTAATTCTATGTAATTCTATGTAATTCTATGTAATTCTATGTAATTCTATGTAATTCTATGTAATTCTATGTAATTCTATGTAATTCTATGTAATGTAATTGTATGTAATTGTATGCAATTGTATGTAATTGTATGTAATTGTATGCAATTGTATGTAATTCTATGTAATTCTATGTAATTCTATGTAATTCTATGTAATTCTATGTAATTCTATGTAATTGTATGTAATTGCATGTAATTGCATGTAATTGTATGTAATTGTATGTAATTGTATGCAATTGTATGTAATTGTATGTAATTGTATGTATGTATGTATGTATGTTTGTATGCATGCATGCATGCATGTGTGTGTGTAATAAGAAACTGGAAGATGATGCGGCAATCACATTTGCAGGCAACGGCCTTCTGCACTGGCTGTGGCCCTCTTTTTTGATTGCTTGTCATTCTCCTACCAAAAACGTTCAATGGTACTGACTTCTTCAATGCAACAAAACCAAACACGTATGGATGCTGTGGTGACTCCCCAAACTCAGATCAGCCCAGAAACCCGGTGTGTTGGATCTGGCGAAGCGACCATGCGGGTTGTCACCTTGCTCTCCACGGCCGCTGGGGCTGTTGATGATGCAACCCCCGTCACGGCCGTCACGGTGCTTGGACCACCCTCCCTGGAGGCTCCTGGTCTGGCCGGAGATGCGTTTCGCTTCCTCGGCACGAAATCATAGACTTGCCCTCGCGCACTCTGCAAAGAACACCTACGACACCTCAATAATATCCTTCAATATCCTTCAAAACCTTAATAAATCTTAATAATTGCTCTCTGGCAATAAAAATAGCAATGGAAAATCCCTATAGTTGACAGGTGAATCAAACATATCAAACTATCAACGGAACATATATATTGCCATGTCTGCTTTCCAGTTTGAAACAAACTCCATAGCACCAGCTGACGCAGCTTAGTTTCTCTTGCTGCATTTGCAAATGCTCCATCATCCTCCTGCGCTTCGCAGCCAAGAGATAGTACGTCGTGGTGACACTGTTGTGCTTGTTGTTCTGCAGGCAATTGATGGCGTACCTGCGCCCAAAAACGGGGGACCGGTTTGTCTCTTCCCATGCACAAGATGCACAAGTGGAGGACCCCTCCATTGCCATGGAAAATCATTGTTTTTCTGGAATTATTTCAAAGTTTCACCCAAGAAGTGTGATTCAATTCAGACCATCTTCAATAAAAAAAGATCATTTTTTGATAGAAATATCTTCGAAACCGCCACAGGATCTGCGTCGCACTCGCGTGGAAAGCCATGACGCTTCAGCTCTTCCAGCACATCTTCGTCCAGACCCCCTGCAAATTCTAGAGTTTCATAGAGTTTCCCAACATCATGCCAAATCTGAAGGAAAACCCAGGCACATGGCAAAACCATAGGTTTACCATGGTTTTCCTATTAGCAAAACCTGCTTTTCAAGCCTTCAGATTAGATAGACAGATAGACAGATAGACCTTGACCTTCCATTGAACTAAATCTTGGAGTCAATGGCTATGGCTGTGGCTGCGATTCACACCAAGTTGGGGCTCAGGAGCCTGGAAGCTCGGCCAAAGCTTTGGGCTTCAGCGCAGCATCTGGAACCTTTCGCGTTTCAGGAGGCAGTTCATATCATTCATATCAATATCCAGATCTACACACTACACACACACATATATATATACATCAATTATCATCTATTCATTTTTCTTGCCACTGATTGCCACTGTATATCCCAATTCCCGGATGTTTACATTCATATTTATTCTATATCTTTATTCTGTGTGGCCTTGAGAATCCTTGGATGTCATTGAGATAATTGGATCACATAAAACCTGGTGCTTGAGCACCGAACGCAAAAAAAAAACATGACTTGTGTGGGGTGTACCATTCCGGTGGTAAGATCCTTCGAACGAAAAACATGGCCTGTTGATACCAGGGATGTGCTCGAACATCGGCTATGGTGAAACCTCAGGCGAACGCAGAGAAGCACTGGAATTTGGATGCAGCGGAAGTGGAGATTCCTTAGCCTTACACAAGTTGACACACTCCAGTTTAGGCAGGCAACGTTTAGCAGGATCAACGGTCAGAAGTCCGGAAATCAGGTCCTTCACGGAATCGCTGATAAAAGCCGGTGGCTGATAGTTGGCCGCCAAAATCTTCTTGTACAAGGCTGAAGTATTGGAATCCTGCACCGCTGAACTTATGAGCAGCGATGGCCCAGAAGCACTGCAGGAAGAAAGCAAACATGCCACAGGCTATGATCTAAAGAAAGCAGCGCAGCATTGCTTGAGCGATCTCTTGCCTTGTCGACGTTCATTCCTCTAGCTTTACAACTGGCCGAAGGATATTTAGCTGCCATGTTTCATGAGGTGCATATCTTCCGCATAAATCTGTATCTTGTACGAAATAAATATAGATACACACATGACATGTATACATATATATATAATCATATATATATAAGTGTCTATCCGTGTATTGGATACGTGTATTGTATGCATGCGGTACTACATATACACATACACGTGTCTGCGTGCGTGAGCCCGTATGTATCTGACGTGTATAGGTATGCATATCATATATAGATGAACAAACAGACATAGATGTACTGTAAATACATGTATATCTCAGTGCTGAGAGATACCAAACATCTCTTGGCGATCCTCGAACGGCAAGAAACCGCACACCATCGCAAATAGAATCCTCAGTCGACAGGAGGTATCCCTGCAGCAAGGTCTCTCTCTCTCTCTCTCTCTCAGCGTTCTCGGCATTTGGTCCTTAGCCTTACCACCCTTCCATGTTTTTCCTCATCATCAGCATCATTGCAGCCAAGCTTCACTCCGCAACTCCACAAGTCGCACATCTGTGGAACATAGCTTTGACCAGACACCATTTCAGGCGGGGCATAACAAGGTGAGCCACCTGGGGAACTTGGAATCAGGTGCGATCAGGTGCCTCACAACTGACAACTGACACGGTTGTATACGGTTGTCACATTTTTTTGAGGCAAGGCACACGCCGTTTTCAAGAGCTGGTTGGTCTCAAACCGATTGCTGAGTCCAAAGTCCACAATCTTGATGCACTTGTGCCTGTTGTGATGCCACGATCGCATAGCAAGAAGCAAGTCTCATCATTGGTAGGTCTTCCATTGCAAATGATTACAACCAGCAGCCATTGACAAGAACATTTCTACCTAGCACGCTTCAACCTGAGAGCTGCAACATATTTTGGACAAACATCTGGATGACGGAAGAGGAACTATATACTAAATTGGCAGCGCTGAATTGCCAACGGCCATACTAGTTTCTCAGTGACTTGCTGGGATGAACCCTGCAAATACATGCAAATATCTAATACAGCATAGATTTATATTGCATGTCTATGTATGTGTGTGTGTTTGATTATATGTCAACATGCATGATCATTGAATCATACAGTATGCATATCTATACCCTGCCAGTCCCCAACCACTTAGACCCACTTCAGGGCTCATGCTGCTGAAAAACCCTCTGGCTGCGGGTGAACCACCTGCATACTATTCAACAATGGCCACGCCAAATGTTGCCACTCCAAACCCATGTACTTTCTAGCTAGCCTGTATGACTGTATGATAGTTCTTAGATGTTCTTACTGACTAGGCAGAAGTTGAAGTTGGTTCATGTTGGGAAGCTTATTGTCCAAACACAAAACTAATCAAATCTAATCAACCTCTCGCGTTCAGCCAGGGCACTCATCCAGAAGCAAGTTTTCCTGAACCAAGTTCGTCTATGGGAACTTGACACTCATAAGTTCAAAATAAATAAATCCGAGTGTGATTGCGCTGCGATGTTTGAGCACAATAGAATCAAGAGTAATCAAGAGCAACTTGCGGGTTCTTTGGGGGAAGCTCCCTTTGCATTTTATGCACCCCTGTGATATGGAATAAATCCATCCCAAGCATGTCTGTAAGTCTGATACTGCAGGGTACCCTCTGGTAAACTAACATAGCGAAATGGAAAATCACCATCTTTGAGTTCGGCAACTCAACTATTTCTATGGACCACTTTCAATAGCAAACTGTTAGTCATTACCAGAGGCTATTCAACAGCACATCAACAGCTGATTGCAGCGCCAGGCTGCAGGTTTCAAATCTCGATGTACCACATTCATTGCATGGATCTTCTCAACTCCTGACACTGTTGATCCGGACCCACAGTGGCCAGCGAGCTGTTAAGTAAGGCCAGCTGTTTTCCTGAACAAACCAGCTGTGCAGTTTGGACGAAGTGATGAGAACCCCAGCAGGTTGTAAGAATATGACATATATAGATGTAGTTTGAATGAAAATGCATAGAAACTGTCCACCCGTCGATCATGGAGGTGCGAACAATGGTAATTACTTGTCGATTTCTTCTCCCGCTCCTGCAATAATCTGATGGAAGAAAATACAAGCTTGTTGTTCGGGCACACGTTGATGCTGAACGATGTAGTCAAATAACTCGCCGCCTGAAGCATATTCCTCAGCCCGAGTGGAAGTTGCTTTTTCAGTCTTCCATCCCGAAAATCATCAAGCAACTCCTTTCTGATTGATGTGTTGATATCCAAAAAAAACATTGATATCCTCGCTCCCAAGCAATGCCATGTCTCAAAGCTTTGCCAAGCTATACTCAATGGATTAGTTTAAGGGAAAATCTTCACCGGAAACCATTGATTTTCGAATGAATATCATGGTGTTTTTTCCCGTAAAACTTTCGTTCACACCAATCCATTGAACCATGTGACATGGGAATTGATAGGAAAAATATTGGATAATTATATATAATTATAGGATAATTAAATTAAAGCTTTGCCAAGCTATACCAAGTAGCCATGATCAAATAGAGTTGATTTTTGGTTTCGATGATCTCCAAGAGCTGCACGACATGTGGATGCCTGGATCTGTAATTCAGTGATGGAACTTCCATGTCCGCTGGCCCCACAACCCCCCCAAAAAAATAAAAACATTCATGGTAGTAAAGCAATGATAAACCACCATAAACCACACATATTTTAATGGTCTATCAAGGTTTATCCCACGCATTTATGGTAAAATTGAGGATGCTTTACCATTGCTTCAAAACTTTACTAAGCTTTACTAACGTTACAGGTTTTGACATGTCCCAGTCCCATATTTGCCTCTTGGCATCTGCGACTCTTTGTTTGGGGTTCCCCTGAAAAACGGAACAAGTCATGAAGGTACCACATAGTAACCATCTCAACATATCTGATCAATACCTTCTAGCTGACAATAGTTTCAAGCCCTGCGGGCTCTGCAGTGGCTGATACTGCCCAGATCTGCCCAGCCTAATGAGCTTTAAAAGCTGCACTTCACGTGCCACGCGTTCGATGTCCGCCACCTCTTGGATGCGATCTTTCCTTGGTGGAGCAATCGGTGCATGTGTAATTTGCGTGTACCGATGCATGTATGTCAATAAATTATTAAGATTTATTTTAACCATTCAATGCAAAAATCGAATGAGAACACGACTTGAACGAATTGTTTCAGCCAAGCTCAAGAACACCAAACAGCAGCATCCCAGAAACATAATGTATTCTTCTGCAAAGTCTTGAATATTGCTGCAGCTTGTGTCATAATTTCTCTCTTTCCATCCTGGCCCATTTAATCTGTTTGGAAAAAACCGTCCACAGGATATCTCCTGCATTAGAGTGGTGAGTAGCGTTTCTGCAGTCACAATGTGCAACACTTTCAGATTCTAGACTTCCGGTAACCCTGATGACCAAAAAAAAAAACTGATGCCCCTTGACCCAGAACTTCTAATGAGATAAACAGTAGACCCAATAATAAACCATCCCCAAGTGGGGTTGACATTCTACCCCCCCCTCACCTTTTCTTGTTATTTCCTTGGATGGTATATCACCACTGATGATCATCGTCCCTTTAGATCCCCCCAAAAAAAAACATTCCATCCTATTCCATAAATCCCCGTTGATAGTATGGTGAGATTGGATTCATCACATCATCATCACATAATCGTCATGTAATCATCACGTAATCGTCACGTAATCATCACGTAATAATCACGCAATCATCACGTAATCATCACCTAATCATCACATAATCATCACATACAGTATCACACAGTAATCATCACATAATCATGGATCATCTGCGCCAAGCTTCTCAAGCACTTTGACAGCCACTCTTTCGCCTGTCAAAATGTGCCGTCCGAGCTTCACTTTGCCAAAGGTTCCTGGCCACCAAAATGTCATGTGGCTGTCATGTGGGAAAGCCAATGATAAACCTACCAGTTGGGGATGGTTTATAACGTGGTTAAACCAATAATATCAATGATAACCCATCCCCCAAATCACCATAAATAGGTGATATAAACATTCTAAAAACCATTCCCAAATGGGCGGTTTTTTATTGTTTTACAGTTTACCCACATTATATGTTTACATCACCATCCATTTAAGGTTGTTTTGGGGATGGTTTATTGAGCTTCCTGAGGTGCCCCTGGCACCTCATATCCGTCCACCCATCCATCTACAAGCAAATAATGATGTCCGTACTATAATTTACTATGTACCTATAGTGGAAATCTGGTAGCAATTTCTGAGTCAGATTCAGAAAATATCATCAAAACCAGCCCATATGATGAAGCTCCCATGTTCTAATCCCGAGTGGATCTGTACAAAGCTGACACACCCTGCGCCTTCACCAATGGTCTTTCCTAGGATGTAGTGTCCCAATGCTCCGCGATGACCACTTGCGCTGGCGCTGGTAGTAATGGGTGCGCTGGTTGTAACTGGAGACATTGGCATGTTGGGCACCTGCAGCCGCAGGACCTGTATGGACCTACTGGACCTGTTTATTTTGGGGGTGAACTTGCCGCAAAACCTCAGAGGCGCGGATACCTCAAGTTCTCGAGACAATCGGTGTTCATTGTTGGTGGCCAATTTCAACACATCGCAAAACCGTAGTCAGTTGGGATAGCAACGAGACCCCATCTTTGGTTAAAGAAAGAAACATTCGGAGACCCCGGTCGCAGTTGCGAGTCGTGAGGTGAGAATTGTGAACGAGGTCCTGGATTTACGGAGCTCACATTGCACCTTGACACAAAATGTCAAAATAAATGTTGGTGACCCCAGCCCTGTCTAGGCACTAGGTTGACCATCGCGACCGGAGGTGCCATGGGAGCACGGCGCACTGGAATCGTGGCCGCTTGGCAGGCCATGACGTAGCAGATTTGTTTCCACCACGTCTTGAACCACGGTCTCCGGTAGAAGAAAACACTTAGGAGATGCGAGCACAGCTAGCTTCTACTGAGTATGGCCACCCAATACCACCATCATCACCATCACCACCATCACCACCGTCATCGTCACCATCACCACCATCACCACCGTCATCGTCACCACCATCATCACCGTCATCGTCACCATCACCACCATGATTGTCACCATTGTGCCCATTGTCACCATCGTCATCAGGAATCGACACAAAGCTGCAGGAGCACCCTACAATGAGTGGAACAGTTTGGTCATGCCCATATCATGCCAAGTCGATTATAGCAACCACCAAAAAGATAGAAAAGTAAATTATCACTACTTTGGTGGGATTTTATGGATTTTACTTTTCTATCTTTTTTGAGGGGTCGTATATTGTTTGCCCATCATCATAAAGGGTCAGAAGCACAGAATCCATAGCTGGATTCATCGCCAAGATTCTGTCGCAGGTCATCAGGCAATGGGGCAATGGCCTGCCCCACCGCTCTTTAGCCCACAAGTTTCATCAATTTAGTACGTCCCAAAAAGGACAGGAAGTGGCTGAAAGATGCTGAAAGGGGGCACTGATGGTCACCATTGACTGTTTGTAGTCATGATGGGCTAAATTCCTTGGCCGTGCCTCGCGAGGGACGTCATCCAAGTCTTTGAATGCCAACCGGTACCTGCCATGGCTGACCGGCCCTGGTAGAAATCGGATCTTCCAGGTCTATATACCGCCCGTTTGCTTCCAAGGGGCCTGTGCAGGAAATTCCTTGGGCACCATTGCAAATCACGCAGGAAGGCCTAAGGCCAGCATCATCCATAGGTCCATAGTTGAGGCTTTATTACAAAAGGATACGAAATGGCGGAAGCCGCAAAACAGCAAATATATAAGTATCCTTGAACCATCTTGAAGCTCTGGATAAATCTGGGTCTTAAAACCAGCAAGTACTTCATGGCACTTCGCACTTCGCACTGCCACGCAACCGGAGCCACTCAGCACCCAACCTCTCGAGAAATCGCGCGATTCATCTGCTCCGGCAAATCCTTGAAGCACTCGGCACCATGGAGGGCACAAAGGCCGCGGGCAAATGATATTGTGTGATATTGTATCGACATATATGTTACATCCCTATACATCCCTACCGTATATATAAATACATACAATTCAAAAGTAATGATAATAAATAAATGAATATATATATATATTATATATTATATATTATATATTATATATTATATATATTATATATATTATATATCTTATATATATTATATATTATATATATATTATATGATTATATATGTCCATACATTTTGAAGGCTGTCATTCTGGCACGGCTACCTAAATTGGCTCAAGCCACAACCAAAGCACCTGTGTCATGCTCATCCACAAGGTTGGGGCACCATCGTCAATGCCATCAACGTTCCACAGGCCCCCCCGCATCCATGTGCAGAACGATGCCGCGCTCCCTCAACTCACTTTGAAGCAACAGGCAGCAATCTGGAAAGCTCACCCTTCCAGAAAACACAGGCTGCGAAGCAATCCCCATCAATCCCCTAAATTTCTACATATCAAAACCAAGCGACAAGTCCTCCTCCTTCAAGTCAGGGTCCAGTCTGAGAGCCTGTGCACATATTTTTTTTACTTCGCCATGTGCAGGGAGAGGATGGCAAGGGTTTGCGCCCATCGGAAAAGACTTTGGATCTAAATTGGATCTATGACATAGGTCCGCTGTGCAGCAAATGGATCCAAATGGCATGACATTAAAGTGCTTAGTCCTTCAGCCACGTTGAGATGCCCCACCAACTCCACCTCTTTCAGCAGCTGTAGCCGCAAGTGTTCCGGCAAGTACTTTGCATCAAACGGCATGGCCCGGCTACTCACGGCTACTCGACAGTGGACAATCTTTCATGCGGAATGTCTCCTTTCAAACCTGTCGTTTTTGTGATCTTAGTGATCGCTGCAAATAAACTATGCCACATTGAAACCAAATAGTGCTAGACGGAAACACCATCGCGTCGTATATCCATCATATCGCATGTGAGCTTCATCCAAAATTTTGAATGCCACCTACATCACTGCTGCTAGTCTACAGGGTGGGCGAATGAATCATCAGCTGTGTAATGCTGTCGCAACTGATCACACACACACAACGACAAGGTGGTTCGCTATATCAGAAACCCAAAGGAAGTCGGGGAACTCATAATTTCTTGAAATTGTGAATTTCAAAAAGGCTGGAGAACCATAATCCCATTTTCTTGTCAAACAGTTTGACCATATATTTTGGTCATGGCAGCTTTGCTGATTTGGAGCCTCTTGATCAATCGTTGCTACATGTTGCTACCGTTGCACCTTTGTTTCAAAGGGTGTTCGTACAAACTAAAGTAGCTTGTATATACTGGCATGCGGTATATACTTGTATACATGTACTTGCGACAAAGGTATCGAGCATGCAAACGGACCTAGGCACAGCAGGACTGCACAAACCTTCCAACCCCAGAGACCAAGGACATCCAAGAACGTCAATGAACGCAAAAAAACATGCATTGAGTATCTTTGAGTAATACGTTGCCGATCTTTGCTGCTGATCTTTGCTGTGGGCGGGTTTTTGGATGTTTCTGGGATGTTTCTGGGTCGTTTCTGTCATCCCCCAAGCAGCTGTCGACCTTGGCAGCGGCTGTGGGCGTACCAGGGTCCGTTGCCAATCTCCCAGTCGTTCACTTGACGAACCCAGGGCTACAAAGGTGCGGGCCTTGGCTGCGGTGAGGTCTGGGAGAGATGAAGGACATGAAAATGGGAAGGATACAGATATGGGGGGTTAGTGTATGTGTATGTTATATGTTAGATGATGTTAGTATTGTGAACCAATTTCAGGCTCAAATTTGCCCAATCAAACGCATGAGAGCTTTAGTGAATGAGGTTCTTTGAGGTATGACACTCCAACGTCAAGATTCATACTTAGTGTGGCATTTTCGTTGAACAAACCTGTCAACTGGACTAAGGCATCACACCGTGGGCTGGACTCGGCACCTCTGCATGTCCTAGGAAACAATGGTTTCCCATCATCATCATCATCATCATCACCATCATCACCATCATGTTATGAATTTGTCGCGGCAGGGTGTTTACTTCAAATCAAACCATTACTTGAACCCTTTTGAAATGTCAGAATACGTCAACATCACCAGGAATCACACATGCACAACGATCTCTCAATTGAAATGACCCTTTTATTCTCGGGCCTTGTGTGATATGTAAACAATGATCTGGGAATAGAAAGTGCTTGAGTACTTAGAGGGAAGAGATGAAACAATCCAGTCAAAGTCATCCTTCAATCAGCGCCTCCAACAGCGCGTGAGACTTCCTGGCCAGCCATGATCCAAATTCCGAGTGGCCCTAGTGGCACATGCGCATGGTGCAGGCTTTGAAGAATTTCAATTTTTCAATTGAAATACAAAAAAAAATCGAAGTATAATTAGTATAATTAGCTGAGAAATCCACCATGTTCGCTGTTTGGTGGCCTCGACCCCTCCTTGTAAACAGCAAACGCACACACACACACACGTCCATATATTTATATTTAGCGGTATAATCCAGTTCAAGAGAGTTTTGCGTTGTTCACGTGTTGCATACCACTGGGGTGGGGGGGGGTTTGGGGATTATATACATGGGATTAAGGTTAGGTGTAGGGTGGGGGGATTAGGGTTAGGTGTGGGAGGTGTGTATGCCAGCATATGGGTTGGAACTATTGACTAAGCTATACCGATATGTGTATGTATGTATACTCGAAAAATTATTCGAAGGAAGTTTAGAAGCCAACCTTCCGACAATATGGACAGATGGAAAAGCAGAGGTGGTAAGAGTCAGAGAAGAAAAGAGAAGAAGAGAGAAGATCATAGAAGAGAAGGAGTCAGAAGAAAGAAGACTCAGGTGCGCCAAAAGGTAGTAAAGTCGCGATTCACCATGTTTTTCCAAAGAATTGTTGCCCTGGAGGGTCGAAAAATAGGCTCGCTAAAGCGGCGGGCGCGGAGCCATGTGGTCAAATGAGAGATGAAAAATTGCATGCCGTTGTGGCGCGAAGCACATTTCAAAGTCAAAAGTGTTAAAAACTGACGGTCTCGGACCACTTTTCGAAGTTGAGATGTTGAAAGTGCACGCCGTTGTCAAAATGTACAAAACACACCATGCTCGCATCACTTTTGGAAGTTGCGATGTTGAAAAAGTGCATTCCGTTGTGGCGCGAAGCACATTCCGAAGTCAAAATGCACAAAACACACCATGCTCGGAGCACTTTTGAAAGTTGTGATGTTGAAAAAGTGCACGCTGTTGTGGCGCGCAGCACGTCAGAGAAAGTGTACGCCGTTGTGGCGCAAAGCACATTTCCACGTCAAAATGCTAAAAACACGACATGCTCGAATCACTTTTGAAAGTTCAAATGTGGTTCCGCGTGGCAGGCGCAAGGGATTCTGCATCTTGCCAAATGTGAGCAAAATGTGAGGGTTTTGTAGCATTTCTAAAAACGATGGCAAGCGTGGGACATTTGAAGAGGATCTGGAATGATCTGGAAACATGCATTTCACGTGGCAGGCGCAGTACAAGAGACATGTTTATCTGTTAGGAGGTCACTACGCTGATTTCCTGAGAGGGGTTGCATTTTGGAGATTCAGGTTTGCTAAGATGATTTTGCGTAACAAGTGCAGCACTTCGTATCAACTGGCATCACTTTTGCGTGGTGGCAGGCGCGGGACTTTACACAGATGGAGTGGAGAAATCGAGGGGGAAGTCTCGCAGAATTGCTTAGTTTTTGATGTTGTCAACTTCGAAAACAGAAGGACGTCTCGCAGAATTGCTTCGTTTTCAAGTTGCCAACTTCGAAAATTGAGGACGTCTCGCAGAATTGCTTCGTTTTTCATGTTGCCAACTTCGAAACTTGAGGACGTCTCGCAGAATTGCTTCGTTTTACATGTTGCCAACTTCGAAAATTGAGGACGTCTCGCAGAATTGCTTCGTTTTTCATGTTGCCAACTTCGAAAATTGAGGACGTCTCGCAGAATTGCTTCGTTTTTCATGTTGCCAACTTCGAAAATTGAGGACGTCTCGCAGAATTGCTTCATTTTCACGCTTGCAGATATAGACAGATAGATGTATAGACAACTACAACTGCAACCGCAACTACAACTACAACTACATTACACTATACTACGCTGATTACATCTGATTACCGTGCACCACATTACAACTACAGCTACAACTACAACTACGACTACAACTACAACTACAGCTAAAACGACGACAACGACGATGACGACAACAACAACAACAACAACACCACACCAACAACAACAACGGCAACAACAACAACAACAACTACTACTACTACTACTACTGCTACTGCTACTGCTACTGCTACTGCTACTGCTACCGCTACTGCTACTGCTACTGCTACTGCTACTGCTACTGCTACTACTACTACTACTGCTGCTGCTACTACTACTGCTACTACTACTACTACTACTAGTCTACTACTACTAGTCTACTGCTACTAGTCTACTACTACTACTACTACTACTACTACTACTACTACCGCTACTACTACTACTGCAACTACCACTAAGTACAAGAATACACAACACTACACTACACTACAGCTACACGACGCTACACTACAACTACAACTACACTACTTCACACACACACACTACACCAAACTACACTACACTATACTACACTATACTACACTGGAGTACACAACACGACAGTACACTACACTACAGTACGCTACACTACATTACACTACACTACATGACAACTACAACTGCAACTACGCTACAACATGCTACAACTACAACTACACTACACTACATTACAACTACAACTACGACTACGCCACAACATGCTACAACTACAACTACACTACACCAATTACATCTAATTACACTAATTGCAACTACAACTCCACTGCACAACAACTACAACTACAACGCACCACACTACATCCAGCAGTTGTGGGTGAGGTGACCACTGCAACCACTTGCAACCACTCCAAAAAACACAACTTTAAGCACCTTTCGGTCCATCAGTGGATTCGCTCTGCCGTCCGTGGTTCACAACAACCAACCTCTTATAGGTTTCCTATTTTTGAAACTTCCGCCACCGCCTTGTGCGGTACCACTGGTATTATTTATTTATCTATTTAATTATCTATTTATTATTTAATTTATTGTTCCATTTCGCTTGATGATGCCGGGGCGAAATGGAAAAGTAGGTTTACTAATTTGCTGCATATCAGCCACCACTTTGTTACTCCATGTTTTTCATTCAAACTGAAGTTCAGGAGGCAGCAAATATTCGTAGATGCCCTCAGTTGCCTGTACCGTGTCCTCGTCATCGGAGACGTCATCCTCCGCCATGCTCACATACAGCGATCTGTCATTTACCAGAAGTGCCATAGGACTCAATCGGTCTGGACACTGCAAGACTTCCGTGCAAGTTGAGCTGCCTTGCCGGAAGGCCAACACTTTCCTTTGTTGAAGCTCAGAGACATAGATCGTTCCACATTCAGCTACAAACAAGTCGCCAAGATCCACTTTGCACACGCGTGGGACTTGTCCCACCACGACAGGTTTGAACGACTCAGCTGGATTCATGCGTACAATGCGGCTGTTCTCATTATCATTGAGATATATCACCTCGTCCTTGGTTACAAAAAGTTCAATTGGCCAGAACTGCTGCTTTGCGGGCAAACTGTTGAAATCAATCACTGTCTGGAGCGTTGAACCCACCAACTTCTTCACAACGCAAAAATCTTCCAGCAGGTATATCACTCCGCTAGGCGAGCAAAACAGGGCGTTCAAGAAGATGTTTTCAAGCACCAAACGGCCAGATCCATTGTGAAAACTCACAAGCCTCGCATTCGCGAAATCAGCAGCAAAAACCTCTCCAGCGGGCGAAATAGCTACATAACAATCACGTTCCAAGTCATTGACTCCAGTCACTGTGCTACTCTCCCCAGCAATTTCTAGTATTTGGGTCGCCGGGTCGCCAGGCTTCCAACAAAAGATGCCACCATGGTAGTCTGTGGCATAGATGGAACCTTCATGCCAACGCAAGGAGTTGCATGGTATAGGAAGCAACTTTCGCCCTGAAGCTTCAGTGCTCCCACCCAGATCTGGTGTCCAATGTTGCAAACAACGCCTCTTTGGTTGAAAGCTGTGTGGACTTTGGCTCCGCTTCCGTTGCCGAAGTCGCAGAGCTTCACGAACTTCTCGGTGCAGGTCCTCACTATGTGGCCCGGAGAGAGTGAAGCGGTCAAGCCGAAGCAAATTCTCGACAGAAACCGAGTGGAAATCCACAAGTTGCAGCAGCATACCGAGCGAAGCATCTCTGTCCTTCGAGATTTTGAGCCAATTGAATATGCCTTTCAAAACCGCCTCTTCCCGAGATACATCCAAGTCTTCTCTTTTCAAAATTCGGGCCAGCTGACTTGCACCAAGCTTCCCAAAGTCTGGGTGCTCGCTGCAAGTCTGAAAATCTTCAGCAACCTTTTTTTCACACACAGCTTTCAAGTCATGGAGCCCGTGTGCTTCTTGAAGGACTTTCAGGGCGGCTCTGCTGTCCAAACAAGCAGAGAGGCCGGCCTCAATCGCACCTGCTAACTTTGGCAGGTCGTAGGCTTCCGCCAGTCGTAGGAGTTCAAGACCGACTTCCAGATTCACCTCAGGCTCTCCACCATAGATATAATCAAGCAAAGCATGGACCGCTGCTTTAGAAGCAGCAAATTCTACTGGTTGTCCTTGTTGCACACGGTCTGCTTCCAGAAAGGATCCCCCCAGCAGCTTTTTGAAAAACATGCTGGCTGCAGATAGCACGGCAGCGTGGGCGCGGTGCTTTGCACCATCATTGCTCTTCAGCACCACGTCACAGAGATGGTCTTCCATCCAGAATTCTCGAAACTGCTCCACGATGCTGGTTTGGTGCTCAAAAAGATCGGAATGTTTAATCTTTGCAGCTGCCATGGCGCAAGAATTTGCCAGGCAAATCTTCCACTTGAAGATCTGGAAGAGTCAAACACGACTAGCTGTTGAGTTGCTGTGTTTGGTCTTCTTGCTTCATGCATATTCTAGGAACTTAATGATTGCGCTGCTGGGGCACTAGTGCGCCAAGTGTATATTGAGCTGGTCGCAATTCTGTATCAACGGATTTCATTCATAGCCGTCTGGGCCGGTTTAAGCCAAATGTGCCATGGGACGACAGCAAGTAAATCCAAATAGCCGCAAGCTGTGATGTCCCGCACTAATCACAAAATCAGCACGAGCTGGGGTGAGGCGGTGAGGGGGAGTGAAGAACAAATTGTTCACAGGTGCAAAGAGTTCGGCCCAGCTCTCCAAAATAATAGGAAACAGGAAACATGTGGTTTTTCCTCGTGCAAATGGACCATGTTTTGTTGGCCCCTCCATTTTTGGACCATGGCATCCCCATCTCTTGGCCAACGCCTAGTATTGCCGCTGCGTTCATGCGCCTCAGAACAGCTATTGTGGGAATGAAATTTTTAGCCAATCGCCGGGAGTGGATCAACATGGATCAACCAATGGGTCGAAATTCTCCTCAATTTCGGATGGATCAAAGCTGACCAAAATGGAGCCATGCCTCTGAGGATTTCTGAAGTCCCTGCACTGATCAAGGTGTTGAAGCTGATGTGATCTGGTTCCACTGAGGCCTGCCTCATCTGATCCAAACACAGCTCCGCCTGGCTGACGTGGCCAACCAGCTTTCTACAGGTCCTACATGTGAGAAGAAGTGATAACAAGTGTCTAAAGCATTCTAAAGCTACACAAAGCCATTACAGTCATCCCAAAACTCTAGTACAAACAATGTGACCAAGACTAAGACAGTGACGAGGTGAGTTGCGCATGAATGTTGTGCCCCTTGGGTCCACTTCAGCTGCCGCCTTCATGGAATTTGCAGACCTGGCAAAGGCGTGCAAGAGCGCATTGAAGCCTCAGAGAACATATAGAGGGACTGAGACTCTCAACCTCGCGGAATCATGTGAAATCCTCAAACTGACCGCTGCAAACATGCGACAAAGTGGCAACCACCACCAACACACATAGACTATCATAGACTAGACTAACATAGAACCATCACGTGGAAACACGCATGGCATGATTCAACCACTTGTAACACTTGTATAGATGTGACTATGAGAGTCCCTTACTTCCAGCTCAAATGGATCTTTCTGGGGGTCCCGGGCAGTTGAGGTTGGGTTCAAAGGCACGTTCCATTATCGCCTGTGCCATGGGCAGCACAAATCAGACAACAGCATGCAGCATGGGCGTTCAACGAAGGTGACAGGCAAAAGCAGCTAGAACCTGATATAACCTGATGCCATGTCGACATTTGACCCTCCAAAATGTTAAAAAGGGTGTTCTAAGTTCCCCTCAGCTAGCCGAAATGCAGATGAATATCACTCAGTTTTGGACAAACTAGGTACACGCTTGATAGACGGCCGTGGCACGAAATGGGATTTTCAGCAAAAAACTCAATGTTTTTTGACGTTCCTCACTTTGCATTGTTCCAAACTACTGCGAAGCCGCACTTCATAGTCTTTTTTTCCTCATTGTTTCAAAAGTTGTTTCAGCTCTTCTAAGGAGGCAATGGGGGCGATAGGCCCTAGACTTTGTCTAAAGACCCATTGGTTCACCATCGCTTTGACGTCGTCTGACATCAGTAGCGTAGCGTAGCATCATATATTTGAGGAAGTGCAAGACGACATACAGTAGAGTAGCATCATGTATGTGAGGAAGTGCAAGACGACATACAATAACGTAGCATTATATTTGTGAGGAAGTGCAAGACAACATACAATAACGTAGCATCATATCTGTGAGGAAGTGCAAGACGACATACAGTAGCGTAGCATAATGTATGTGAGGAAGTGCACGACGACATACAGTAGCGTAGCATCATGTATGTGAGGAAATGCAAATGAACGTTATTACCCCACCCCACCCCACCCCACCCCAATGAGCAAAAAAGGCAACAAAAGTACGCGGCCATCTACCAAGCGTGTGCCAACTACAAAGCTGCTAGGTCATGACCTTGGCAAAATCAAACCCCAGAAATAGATAGAAATAGCACCTTTTTCCACACATGTGGCGCGGCTCAAGCCAGCAATCCCAGCCAGAAGCGCAAATTAATATTCTTCGCGTGGTTCAGCGTGAGATCGAAGCAGGCCGTTTAGGCAATCCGTTTACACCAGTGTCCACCACTTCAAGCATTAATTCACTTGAGAGCAGGCGGAGGCGGACGAAAGGTAGTGTAGTGGGAGAGGAGTGGTGTCAAAATGCTGCGCCCCTAAGATGATACACCAAAAACGTTTTTGCGCAGTCTAAGATGATTTTATCCAGAGCATGACTGCATGATACGGTGTCTTGTGCAGCGTGAAATGATGCACGAAAAGGGGTTTATTTAAAACCCCTTTTTAAGACCCCTTGCAGCAACTGTTATTGAGGCTGAAGCATACCAATTATGCTGGACTACAGGGACATCTCCCTCATGGAAAGTGTGCCTCTAATGTGGGGGCCCGTGACCGCGTCACCCGTGGGAATTGAACCCATGACCATTTTCGGGGGGGGGGGCCCCCCCCCTTATAATTGATATCCAATACATAACGGCGAGAATTCCATGAATTCCGTGGGCTGGCCCCCCAATACCCCCTAAGCTTGTGCTGAAGCACGGAGAACTCAGGTAGCTGACGCTACCTTTCGTGATGAACTGGTACTTGACCCGCCAGTGATGTCTGATTCCTGCATTATCAGGCCATGAAAATCCTAAAGCTAAAGAATACTGAAAGGCTTTGCTCAAAAACCTGAAAGAATAACTAGTACGCAGCCATACCCAGCCACATACACAAAAATTGAATATAAGTGAGGCGCCAGGGGAAAGGGAAATCGCAGCTAAGGGCGAATAAGGACGAATTGCCACACTAGAGTAATTATTGCAGAAAGCAAGTTATGGATCATCATGACAACTGATTACAACATATTACAACTACAGAGTCATCATTACCATGACAAGTTCAGAGTGGCTCAGATCTCTCATGCCGACGCCACGCAATGAACACGGGCACCAGCCATGCGGACATGGGCACCCAACGGCGCGACACTTTAAACCTGGCGCCATGTGTCATGTTGTGCCACTGGTATGGCTGAGATCTCTTCAAATGTGATCTCGAAACCGAAAGCAAAACAAAAAGCAAAACTCCAACCCTTCATCAACATATACATCAGCTCCGGAAATCACTAAGCTGAACTCAAATCATCGCAAAATTCCATGAGCATCACTCGCAAGCTAGTGGATTTTCCAGGAGCGAGGTGGGATGTGAGCTGAAGAGGCGCCTGCGCGACATTGGTAGGAGCTGAATCAAACCGTGGAGTAGACGCAAAATGACCCAAGCGTTGCCTATTGCCATATATTGGGAAATATATCTGATTGGGAATATTGGTGGTTTGGTTCCATATGTTGTATATTTCCCAATAAAAGGAACCAATATATTATTATATCCCAATATATTGGTGCAGAATTGCAGTTCCTTCCTTTGCAGAGTTGCCCAGTTGCCCTTGTAAAAAGCCTGCCACATTCACCCTCCGAATCCCCAAGCCTGGAGTGTTGAGCGACTCAAAGCTTCGAAAGGCCACAAGGTAATCTCACAGAAGTTCCTCACAAAAAGACGTTGAAAACATATGAAAACATGGGGCAATGGGGAGGAAAAAACATCATACAAACACTACCATGCTCAATGTCATTTAAATCATGCCCAAATTGACTGGAATCGAAACCTATAAGAATCTGCGCCACCCCAACCACCCTGACGGGTGAAGCAAATGTGTTTCCACTCTTGTATTTTTGTTTTGCTTCTGCCCTAATATCCAACCAGGCACACAGAAGCGGAAAACTGTTAGGCAGGCCATCACCAAAACGGCAATTTGAGTGCAGGGACCAAGGGTTGCAATGATCTCCAGCCAAAGCACTCACAATAATTACTCATAATGAGATAATATGACAACTCACAATGAGATTATATATATTATAGAACACACCGTTCTCTAACGGTAACTGTTAGTAACTGCAACATCCAAAAGCCCCTCAGCGAGCGCCAAGTGCCGCCCAGCCTGGACACATGCTGGCCACATTGCGCTGCACCACCAGCCAGGCCAAGTCGTAAACTTTCTCAAAGTTCGCATCCCACGCCTGGCCCCAAAAAAAACCTCAAACGTTGGCAAAATCCAACATGAAACTGTTGGATTTATGTGGGGAAATGTGGGGAAATTGATGGGCAAATATTGATGCCACTGATGTTTCAATTGTTTTCTAGCCATTGCGTTTTGAAGCACAAAGGATTTCTTGGAGGTCGACCAGCTAGATGGAGTTGCTTAAGGAGGGCTAATGGATTCTTGGGGTGCCCTATTTTCAACTAAAGCCGTTTCAAGCTAAAACCAACGGCTGACATTTTTACAGTACTCCATCTGCAATCGGGGTTGGGCCTCGCAAAGAGAATCGTCCATCGGGATTTCAAACAGTAATATCCCATCATCTCCCCATCAAAATGCAAATTAGATCCTTAGCCATCTATGGCAGTATATCTTCAGTAACATAGCATATATAGCTATCTCCCAACCAAAAATCTATTCAGTTATAGCCATCTATAGCCCATTTGAAACCAAGCCGATCACCAAACCATGGTGGGAATGGGGCAATGGGATGATTGTCATTCCCCCATTCCATACTAACCAACCAAACAGATCACCGGAAGGTTAAAACCGAGCTGATGATATGTATACAATATATATGTATATGGCACATATATGGCATATAGAAGGATATGATATATATATATATATATAGACATATAATATAATGCACTATACACATGTATTATTACATAACAATATGATGTTACATATAAAAATATATATATATATATATGTATACATATATGTTTATATATGTATACATACACATATAATATATGTATAATACATATATAATATATATATATATTGTATATATTATATATATATATATTGTATATATCACCAAGCCTTTCTGCCAAAGCCATTCTGTGGACCTTGGCTCCACCCTTCATGGCTTCCTGCAGCTCTTTGGTCAGCTGCTGTTCTTCGCCTCGTTCATCTAGAAAATGAGTAATGTGGGAAGCCCAATGCCATGAACCTACAATTTGGGGATGCGTTCTACATCTTTACACTATATACTAATATACCAACCATAAAAATGCTGATTGATCTGATTGGGGAATGTTCTATTTTGCGTCTACCACATTATGGTGATGCAAATCCCCTCAGACTGTCTTAGAATTATCACATCGTCAGAATCATAAGAGATCTCAATGGCAGCTGTCCGTGGTATGTTTCTTTGGCACCTTCTCACCAACACCCAAAGAACACAACAAAATTGACTTGGTAATAGATCGATCAGTCAAAACTGAAACAAATGATAATCAGAATTAGAGAGAAGAAAAAACGGTTCCAAAATCTATGTTGGTTGAGTTTACTCGATTTCGGGTCGTATTTGGTCATGTCATGGTTTGGGTGCTGCAACGGCAGCCCACAGCTTTGCCAAGGGGCTGGATCCCAAAGGACTGGTTAGCCTCACTCGATCCCTGGCAAGTTTCTGCCTCAGCAAATGGCATCATGAGAGTAGTACAGTAATTCACAACACTATTCTCAAATATCTGATGATATCTGACACTACCAAGGCTGTCTTGATAAAGAAACACGTCTCAGTCAAATATATTATCAAAAACCGGTCAAATGACATGCCTTACTGGCTAAAGCGCGCTGGTCACTGTTCCAGTGTCAGTTCTGAAGGTTGAGGCTTGGAAGTGTTCGTTCGGAACGTTCTGAACTTCCGATGCTTAAATTCGTCATGAAAGACGCCTGCCAAATAACATGCATCATCATATCTGCCTATTACAATCCTATACTATGCTATACATCTAAATATCTATCCACTGCTTATTTGTTCTAAGTGGCCGTTGGATGTGCCAAATCTAAATACTTCCCGATAACATGTTCAAAATAGACATACCATCATGCAATATGAATTTAACATAATTTAACACATTTTAACACCATACCAGGATATACCAGGTATCATGGACAGCTCCTTTTCCTCATTGATCCATGTCCAAAGCGTCATGCCTTGTGAGATCGCCAAGTAGCATCAAAATCCTGGAGTCGCCCTCTGCAAATTTGCAGGCCTGGCGATGGCCATCCATTGGCGGCACACGGCACGTTTCCCAGTGGAAGTTTTAATGATGCAAACCCAATGGTAAACCAAAGGTAAACCAAAGGTAAACCAAACCGACTTGATCCTCTTCGTCCATGCGGGGGTCTCATATTTTGAGACGATTATAATTATAACATGATTGTGGGAAGACTATCGATTATATATTGGGCCCTGCTGAGGACAGCCCCATAGGCCCACCTGCAAGAAATCCATCTGCTCGAAGCCAGTGTCTCCCATCAACGCATGCGATCCAACATCTTGCTTCAAGCGGAAGCAGAGGTCGATGCTAGTCTCCTGAGCGTGTCAACGTCAAGCTGACATGAGTTGACATCCAACATGACAGAAAGACATGAATTCGCCGGAAGCGATTTACACATCTATCCATCAATGATGCAGTTTACATTATAGTACATTATATTAATATTACACAATGCGATATAACATGATATAACTTCGCACCCCCTCTCCCTACAACATCCTAATTACAACTATCAGTCTCAGTTGTCAGTTCATCTGATGTGAAGAGGGCTGTCTATGGCCTGGTCTGGTGAAATGCTATGAGATGCTGAGTGGTTCAACTCGATGTCTGTTTGATGCTGGCTGCAAGGCTGCTTCTTCGGGGTGCCAACATGCAATGTACTTACACGCACTAACCTATCTACGTCTGATTACCCAGCATCCTAATCCTTAACATCCAGCCAGCTTAAAAATTCAAATATGAATCGGTTTCAAAGCCATTCAGAATGACCTTTGCATCTCTTTCCAGGATTTGGAATCGTCGTTCCAAGGATCACTGGCCAAAATCTTGGCAGACGCGATGGCCTCTTGCAAAGCAACTGACGGAATCTCATCTTTCTGAAGGCCTTGGCAGGGCGATTCACAAAGAGATTGCAACAAAAAAAGAACACATTGCCAAAGTGAAGTGACAATATCATTTTCTGCAAGTCTTCCAGAAGATTGGCAAAACTGTTTTCGGTTTGGGGGATCTCGAGCTTTTGGACCACGTTCAAATGGTCTTTTGTTCCTGAGGGTATTTTTTCAATGGGAATTTCAGGATCCTAAATTGGAGGTACCTACCATATATAAGGCCTATGTAAGTGAATATCACCACAAAATATGGCCTTATATGGTACAGTACCTCCATTTTAGGATCCTGAAATTCCCATTGATTTTTGGGGGAAACAGTGTTGCCACCACAGGTTGCATCTACAGCTTTGTTGGCTTTGCAGTGGCTCCGCAATGAATTCTGCATCTGCTGCATCATCCAAACTGGGTTTTCGTTCATTGTATTTTGCATCCTGTGCCCTGTGCCCTTCCTAATGCCAGGTTTTTTGTGTGTTCTGGGAAGCCCAATCGCCCAATCACAGTCTTTGCAACTCCTTATTTAATTTAACCCTGAACAAAGGTTAATTACTGTAAGCAGTATTAAGCAGTAGATAAAGTGGATATCTACAGCCAGGACCCATCCACTCAATCACTTGTTGATGGCCGGGTCTCAATCACTCAATTGCTTCTCACAGCTTGCTACGAAAGCCTCCAGTTTTTGCAGCGTCTCTTCTGCCCGTGTGTACCTGGAAATATGACATCTGATCGGTGGACCATGACGGTCCCATGGCATCCAATGAGAGTCCCAGGCAACACCTTTTCATTTTACATCAAAACTTTTTTTGCCATCCAGGATCGAGACATATTGAAACATATTGAAACCATCGGTCGCTGAAATACAATCCGCTTACCCATGCGAGAGACCGATCACGATATCATCACATCTCAGCATTCTTGCTCCGTCTTGTTGGTGACACATGTTAATTCCATTGGAATCCCAGTGGAACCCCATGTGAATCCCTTTGGGTCCCATGGGGCACCCGCATCACTTAGGCCACCCCATGACGCATCTCTTTGGGCACCCATGATCATTATTCTTACACAATCACTGGAATCAGCCATGCACGGTGTGGTTGGGATCATTCTACCTCCATAATTACTGGACTCAGCCATTTACTGTAGGGTTTGGTTGGGGGGGGTGGGGAGGGATCATTCTAATGTAGTATACGGATTAGCGTGATGGACCTCTGTAGCGTTTTTTCCAAAATTATTGAGTTTCATGTGGATGGGGGCGGTGGGCCTCTATTGTGGTCAGTTTTTTCTCAGATCCATTTTTTTTCAGGAGGAACTTTATCCACCTTTATACACCTTTCTTTGGGTAAAGTTACGTTGGTCCATTTACTTTAGAAAACCATATCCATTTTAAGCCTTGAAAATGCAAGGCTTCCCAAATAATTAGATGCCTTATTAAACCCTTATTAAAAAAACAGCACCCAAACAATTTTTCAAGGGGGCACCCCATGAGTGAACCAGATCCTCAATAATGTAATTGTTTCGATGGTACCCTGTTGTGCACAAAAACTTTTGGGGCGATTTTTTTGGGATTTAAAAGGAAAATCAATTAAAAGTAGATTGATGTCAATTGAAATCCTTACTTAAGTTGACTATCCTAAAATTGTTGGGGGGCCAGAAAATGGCGAGTTATTGAGTAGCCTAAAATTCTTGGGGGGGCCCACACTAATCAGTAGCCGACATTACTTTCATAATTACTGGACTGGGGAGGGATCCTTCTACTTTCATAATTACTTGACTCAACCATTTAGGGTTTGGTTGGGGGATGGGGAGGGGTCATTCTACTTACATGGTTACTTGACTCAGCCATTTAGAGTTTGGTTGTGGGAGTTGGGAGGGATCATTCTACTTACATAATTACTGGACTCAGCCATTTAGGGTTTGGTGGGGGGGGTGGGGAGGGTCATTCTACTCACATAATTACTGGACTAAGCCGTTTGGGGTTTGGTTTTGGTTGGGAAGATGAAGATGAAGATGAAGAAAACGCAGAAGCAGAAGAAGAAGAAGAAGAAGACGAAGACGAAGAAGAAGAAGAAGAAAAAGAAGAAGAAGAACACGATGAACATGAAAATGAATATGAAGATGAACATCAAAATGAAGAAGAAAATGATGATGATGATGATGATGATGATGATGATGATCCTACTACGTGGCAGCGTGTTGGAACAAGATTGAGTTACTAGTAGCACGCACAAATACGTAGACGTTGGACAAGTGCTACTTATAGCAGGCGCCCGAAGCGATGCACGAGTGGGCGCCCGAAGCGAGAGCCTTGCCTCCCGTGGCATACCATGTTTGATGGCTGGGGCACAGGTGCTGAAGTTGAGGGACTTGCGTCAAGTTGGAGTTCTTGGGCACCCAGCCTGGCTAGGTTGTTGCTCAAAATGGAGGAACATTCTGAAAAATGATGGAAAGTGAAACAAAAATAAACCAAGGACTCGCGGACCGCGAATATTGAATAAATGTCTGTTGAGGCGCTTGAAGGGATGACTACTAGCCAGCTGTTCAGAACATCCGTGACCTTCGGGGCGATGACTTACTAAGGTTGCGACACTTCTTTCGATCTGAATACTCTCGAGTCATCTCGAACAACCTCAGGATAGATGTTGGAAGGCATCCTGTCTTTGAACCGATTTCTCAGAAGGACTGGTGGCACCATTTGTCTGCATGACACACATGGTCGCACATGTAGACACCCGCAAACCTCACTAGAAAGAGCTGGTTGCTGCACACTTTTATGCAAATTGGTTTTTGCCACGAGAAGAAGCAAAGTCACAGTGTATGTGCATCCTGTCCTGGAGAAGTGCAGTCCCAAACTGTTGAATTAATGCCACACACCAAAAAAAAACACGCTTCTGGTCCGGAAGGGAAAGGGCCATGCTTTATCATGTTTCCATCATTTTCCACCATTTTCCAGCTGTCCAACTCCTGACCTCAACGATGCCAAGCATCTTTCGAGTGAAAGTGATGGCTGCCCATGCCACAGCCACGCGGCCGCTGAAGAGCCGTTGTCCAATCATGGCCATGTTGGTCAGGCCCTGGGGTCTGGTGGCATCAGGTGATCTCCAACTCGTCTCATGAAAAGGTTCGAAGTGACATCAACGTCACATAGATTATTGATGATTATTACAGGTTGCAATTGTATGCAATTGCATGGTTACAATATTCTATGTATAGTTTGTCTCTTGAGAGGGACGCGTCATGACAAGTCTATAGATTAGGACCGAAAGTAGTAGATATGATATGGCGTATCTAATATTATAATTATACGGTATGTTGTGCTAATTTGTCCCATCATGTGAGTCCTGTGATATCATGCTGCTGTTGACCTTAGGCTTTACGCATTCCATCCTGCCGTGCCTGCAGCCCCATCCCCTCGAGCCGTTGGGCCTTGACTCTGCTGACGTAGCTGCCGCCATTCCCCGGTTGAACCTCACCGTAGCGGCTGAGCAGCGTGTGTCGCGGCACCCGAGCTCCGTGAAAGGCCTAAGCCATGGCAATCTGCGAAGTGCTTAGGAGATCTATAGGAGAGGTGACAATTCATGTTCATTCATTTCTCCATACTTCTCCAATCAAAATAATGTGCCCAACGATTTCATGTTTGATGGTACTCGTGCCAAATGCACCAAGTCACAATCCAGGCGTTGTCCAGATCATTTCCGACGGTTTTGCGGCCCATGTCCTTTGAAAAAAGATTGAGAAGGATCGAGAAAAGAGTGACACTGGTCATATCTGGTCATGCATCACAAGGGGAACTAACTAATTCAACATAATTCAACTAATTACCTAAATTCTCATAACTTCTGTCTGGTGCCGGTGCGTCTCAAAACACCCATTTTGGGGTACCAAATTTACGAAAATTGACTGATTTTCACCCATATCCGTTGTCCATTGTGTTCGGACTCGTTCTGGCCGAAGCTCTCCAAACTCTACGTTGGGCACAGGACCATTGGCTGTGCGCAGTTCCATCAGGAAGGCATGAGCACCACACCTCCACACTTTTTTTTGGGCGGAAGATTTTTCAAACATCAGGACCTACGGATTCCTAAAGTTTCGATAGTGAACCTGACATTTGAATGGATTTAGCAAGCCAACATGTCGATTTGATCGACTGAAAAGTCAGAGCTGAATCATCAAACAATTTCAAACAAACACATACTATGCCCGCTAACCAGTCCGCTTTCGAAGGGTCGAATGCCCAGTTGGTATTGTCGCTGTCACCAACTCCCGTCTGCAGGATTCCTTGCCTCTTGCCAGCTACGCGGAGGTCTGCAACCACCACACCCAGTTCTCCAACAAGACCCTGGGAGATCCAATTCTTTTGAGCACCAACCTGTCGTCTGGCAAAGGCTGGGACTTGCTACCTTCTGGGTGGTATACGGTATAATCACTTATTATTATGGTACAGAAATGAAGCCCTTTGGCAAAAAAAAAGGAACATCGGTCTCAACTTGTTGTTCGTCCCGAATGCCGAACATGCCAGGCCCAAACACACAAAATGTTGCATGTTTTGGTTGCTAGCCTCGTGCGAAGTAAGCACGAACTCCTGCGTTTGGTCCTGAGGCTCAGGGAACCATGAACTATGAATCTCAACCGGTGTCAACCTATTTGCGGCAGTTTCTTCAACTACATGACAGTACATCTCTCTCGGGATTTGTATGGATTGCTCGTATATACTTGTGTCTTTTGTAGCTCTGCAGACACCTTGACAGCATCATACAGCATCTAAGGCCCTGTCATCCCACTCCGCAATTGTGTTGACCACCCCGCCACCTCAGCCAAGCGTGCAAAGGCGGCCAAAGACATACAGCATTCGCATGTCAGAACCGAGGTGCCCCCTACTAATCCTTGGTCAAACACTGGGGCCGTCCATTTTGATATATTTTGATACATTTGGAGCATTTTGGAGCTGTGTGTGCCCTTCATTTACAGTAATTAAGTGGAAGTTTGGAGGGCCGCCCCCAAAAAAGGGCCCAAAGCACTGTTGACGCCCGCCAGCTTCTCCGTCAAGCCGAAGCATCCCAAGAGGCCCTCACGCGGGATCCCGAACCCAGCTGAAGGAATGGGTCAAAATTGAAGGTGCAAAAAGATGATGTTTTTTTTTGACATGAGGAAAATTCGGTTGTTTCCTGGTTGATGAAACTTTGACCCCAATGCGATTTTATCTCACCATTTGATGGATCGCCCTAAGGCCTAAGGCCAGAATGGAGGTGGGTGACAGCCATCAGCTTGCTACCTGTGGAAGGGTGACTTTTTGGAACCAATGGATTCTCTCTCAAACCCCATCCCGCTGATGGCAAGCTGGATTCCCGAGAATCCACCGGTGCTATAGTGCTATAGGATCCTGAATCCTCAAGGCTCTCGTAAAGCACACGGATCCTCAGCTACCCTTCAGTAATCAGCAAAATCCACCATTTAGTTCCATGATTTTCCCAGCTACAAACCTCCATTAGAGTGGATTGTCATGGATTGTCCCATGTTTTCCTATGATTTTCCCAGCCTCTTGGGGGTTTCCAGCTAGCCATCTATGACCGGGAGGCCTTCTGCTGGATATCATCCAACTGTTTGACCTGATCCTCGTTGCCCACAGCCAGCACTGACCCTGCGAAGAGGTTGTAGTGGACCTGCAACGGCGCAACATGGTGCAACGCTCGCAGCTGACGGCTTCAATATATTCATATATATATATATATATATATTTGTGTGCGTCTGTGTATGCCTTATCGAAATCTATATGTTTATATATATATATATACATATGTATACATACACGAATATACAGTATACGTGTGTGCATTGGATTCATGAGACGTATATCATTGCATTGCCGTCCCATCTTACATGGTTTGCTCTCACGAAAGCCCTCAAATCATGAAACTTCAGCACACAAACAAATGATGAAATCATAAACTCAAGGAGAACCTCTATAATTATTAGGTTGACATGTTGTTGTGAAATGGCGTGAAGTGGTGTCAAATGTTGCGACGTGTGTCAATATTGTCAATGTAAAAAAAAAGCACCAATCATTCATCATTCTCTCTCTCTCTCTCTCTCTCTCCCTCTCTCCATCGCCATCCCGAAAGTTCAGCTACGGCTGAGATGAATGATTCATCATGTACAATTCTGTTGATCTCCATCTCAAGTGCCGTTGAAATCTCCAGCCATCCCAACAATACCCCGGCACCGTGAAGCGGATCCAAAATCCAGGACCCAGGTTGGGCGCATGCCGCGCCAGAAGACGATGAGCCTGGTGGTGATATCTATCGTTAACTTTTTTTTAATGGGATATCATGGGGATAGAATTGAATGGGGATGCAATGGGGATATAATAGGGATAGATTGGGGATATAGTTGGAATATTGATGGTACTTGGCATTCATGAGTTCTTGCTCAAGGTTCGTTCCGCAATTCTGTCGCCTCAAAGAACTTGGCCGGGTTGTACTTCAAATCCTCAGCACAGTCGGCCACTCAGGGTGGAAATTGGCACACCTTTCCCATTAGCTTACAACCTTTGAAACCTCCGGAGAACGCATGTGAAACCTGTGAAGAACCAATAGCCCAATAGAACAATATGGAACACATACCCACCAGTTGGCCCAAATATTAAGTATAGGGTGTGCAAGAGATATATTTAATATTTCAAAATAACAATGATAATTAAATATAGTAAAAATGATAAGGATAATATATTATAATATAACAATAATAATGATATTAATGATAGCAATAAGAATAATAAGAAGAATAGCAATAACAATATATACGACCAGTACCATGTTTTTCTCCCAAGCATCTGTCAGTTTCAGCAGGCCCGTCTGCTGCAGCCTGCGCAGCTGCTGGGCACCTCAACAGCAGGAAGTCATACCATAAGCCTACCATTTGAGGATGGTTTATACCATTCATTTATCGTGTTTTTGGGCGGGTATATTATGGGGTTTACTACATTACTACATGTTCATTCATATGTTTAAAAATTGGCTCAAAAGCAAGAAAAGTGGTTGCATCCCCAAAAGGTGTACCAAAACCCAACATGCAAAGATGTGTGTACTATTACCAATAATAATAGGTCCCCAGGTAGGTGTGTGTGTGTGCACATGTAGATATACACAACTACTCTGGCCCCTTTGGAGAGGTTAGGAACCTCGAAGGAAGTGTTGTTTTTCTTTTGTTGGTGGTTTACCAAGGCTGTCTTGTTTAGAAAGAACGTCTGGTACCAAAATTTTCAGGTGATCTGCTCTCAGGCTCTCAAAACATCCGTATGTTTTTCCATGTTCCCCTTGGGGTAGGCATCAAGCGCGCACCTCCCAGCGATAATCTTTTCGTCTCAGCCGTGGACAAAATCCCATAGATGATCAGACTTGCCTCCACCTCTACACTCCGCTCCAAGCATATCAAGAGGGATCATTGGAAGGACTCAGAAGTATTCCACACCTGCACTCAGAATTTGTGGGGGTTTTGAATTTTTAAAAAATGTACTATATAGATATATATACAGACAAAATCAAATATAATCAAAATGACATCAGCTACCTCCGCATCTGGAGCGAATGTTGGAGCAGGGCGTGGAGCGAAACCCTGTCAGACCAATGGCTGCAAATGTCGCTTTTGGCCTTGCATGCATGGCATTGACGAATTCGAGCTCTTGCCGGTCACTTCTACAGTGCGCAGCTGACTCGAGAACTGCTGGGTCCAGCAGTTGTCTCGGATGTGTTTGGTCCCTGACCTTGAAAATGTGTGGCTTTGTCAAGGTCATCCATCCAGAAAATTGGCGCAAGTGGCAAGTGGCCAGCATCGCTAATCATGATTCAACATTACAGACTAGCTATGGCTAGCTGGACGAACTGCTGCACATGAAAACGAGAACGCCGATTTTAAGTCAGGTGAAAAGCTTACATACGTGCCTGGTCACAAGATCCACTTGGCCAGCAAGGCGACTCTTTTGAAAACCCTCCCTGTTGCGCGAAGAGATCTCAGTGGTCGCTTTCTCAGTCGTTCTTCTTTTCCTTCCACTCCTGGTTTGGGATTGTGGATGATTGTGGCCATTTCCAATCTTCTTGATTAACTCTGGATTAACTCTTCATTTTGGTTGGTCCTGTTGATTGCCAAACTCTTTTGTCAACTGGGCTGCCACAGCCTTGTCCACATCGAAACCAGTGCGGTACTCCAACTTGAAGAGGTGCCAACCAAATCGTGTTTTCACCTCCCAGCCCGCCACGCAGAAGAACCCACAAGCTTTAAGGATTTCACCATCCGAATCACCATCCAAATGGCAAAATGGGGTTCAACCTGACCATTCCAATCGGAGGTGCCGAAATGGAATTTGGTAACGAGCAGATTTCTCTGGCCGAAATGAGAAATAGCCAACAAGAATGGGGATGTGATCAGTAAAATTGGATTGTAAATGGTCAGAAACTGATGACCCGGGCCACTCAAAAATTTGGATAAACCCAGCTGTGGGACCTAGCTAAGCTAAGCAACTTCCCAACATCTTGGGATGCTCCAAAGTTAGGCATGTTTTCATTCAATCAACTGCGACTCTCGGTGCTTCAAAATCTCTGTCCAATCCCTGGATGCGTTTGGATCAATGCCTTGAAGCCCCCATCCCAACAGTGCCCATGGCGACCAAGGGGTACCAAGGCACGGGGCCCACGACTTCACCGATGGGAACGTTGGGATTGAAGGCGACTCCTTGGCGGTGATGGCTGGGCTGGGGCCATGTCTGATGTTCCAACTGAAGAAATGGTGAAAGGCGATTGTGAACTTACTAACGGCATCCAAACACATCACATCTTTATGTTGCAAGTAATGGGCAGTCACAGTAATACATTCCAACACTACACACGTATGATGCAAACAGTCTCTTATTTGTTGGTGTGGAGTTTCATGGTGTTTCCCATCATTCTCAGCAACCATCAGGTCAGAACAGGGCCGCAGGGATCGCAGGGCAAGCTTCGATCAAAGGCTGGGTCAAGCTCTCCAGGTTGAAAGACTCCCAGATCACCACCATCTGAAGCAGAAGGGCATTTGCTCAAAGCCTTTGCCACTTTAGCAAAAGTTTCCTCAGATATCTTCCACCCAAACGCTCAAGATCTGGGATGTCAGCAGCAACTCAAGCAGGGTTGCTTGAGGCAAACATGTTAATGCGCAGCAGGAAACTAGCTGCTACCAGTAGCTTTGCATAGAGTTGCATGTTGGGTTTACCTTTGCTTGAGTTTAACCCAGTTTGAAAGAAGAAGCGCACACACACACACACACTCTCCCTCTCTTTCTCTCTATATATAGGTGTATGTATGTATGCGATATATATATATATAATGTGTGTGTGCGCCACAGATATATAGATCCGATAAAAATGTGGGTATATGTTCACTTTAGTTTCGCTATGTGATTACTGTGGAAGCACGGTGTACCTTTCGCTACTTTGACGCCTGACCTGCCCCACCTGCCCTGCAGATCAGCATCCCCGCCGTCCAGGCGGGCCTTTGCTGCTGCAATGTCTTGCGGCGTGGACATGAGAATATGCCTGGCAGCAAAGCTCCCACAAGAGACACGGATGTTAATATATATATATATCATGAATCTGACGTGCATCTCTATTACAGTATGTATATATTGTATGTATGTATGTATGTATGTATGTATGTATGTATGTATGTATGTATGTATGTATGTATGTATGTATGTATGTATGTATGTATGTATGTATGTATGTATGTATGTATGTATGTATGTATGTATGTATGTATGTACTTATGTACTGTATGTATGTATGTATGTATGTATGTATGTATGTATGTATGTATGTATGTATGTATGTATGTATGTATGTATGTATGTATGTATGTATGTATGTATGTATGTATGTATGTATGTATGTATGTATGTATGTATGTAGTATGTATGTATGTATGTATGTATGTATGTATGTATGTATGTATGTATGTATGTATGTATGTATGTATGTATGTATGTATGTATGTATGTATGGTATGTATGTATGTATGGTATGTATGGTATGTATAGTATGTATGGTATGTATGGTATGTATGGTATGTATGGTATGTATGGTATGTATGGTATGTATGGTATGTATGGTATGTATGGTATGTATGGTATGTAATGTATGTAATGTATGTAATGTATGTAATGTATGTAATGTATGTAATGTATGTAATGTATGTAATGTATGTAATGTATGTACTGTATGTAATGTATGTAATGTATGTAATGTATGTAATGTATGTAATGTATGTAATGTATGTAATGTATGTATGTATGTATGTATGTATGTATGTATGTATGTATGTATGTATGTATGTATGTATGTATGTATGTATGTGTGTGTGTGTGTATGTGTGTGTGTCTGTATGTATGTATGTATGTATGTATGTATGTATGTATCTTGCATAGATGTGCTACATACTGGTCAAATGAGATCTCTCCAAATTCGGGGTTCAATGCGAGGCCCGACGCTGCCCACAAAGGAAAATATGCAATGAAATGTGCACACATAGATGATCATAGATGTGAGATTGTGTGACTATCGATCAATCTATCTCGTGTTTTCCTATTCTTATTTTTTTCTCCATCCATCCCTTTGTAAATGATCATGGATGTGAGATGATGTGAGTGCGTGAGTGTGAGCAGTGCACAAGCTTGCTATTGCAGGTCCAATACCTTTCAGATCCTTTGAGACTTTCAGATGCAACCTTTCTGGGGACATGGAAGGTGATGCCTGCCCCCTGCAGTGGCACCTAATGGCCGCACTCTTGATCTTCCGCTGGTCAGCATCGGCTGCTAGGAGCATATACAAGGTGGAGAACAACACGAACAGACCAGCAAACCTGAGATACGACCCCTGACAAACATGGCACACTGGACAGGTTCGATAACCATCGATAACCTATGATACCTATGATCACGTTCCCTCGCTTGATGATACCTGATGCTGCACCGCCAAACACAAATTTTCCAGCATACTCACTCTATCACCAAAATTGTTCGCAACACCGTGGTGTTCCTTGACAGCTCCCCAACCCATGGCTAGTTTCATATACTTTGGACCTGCTGCTTCAAACTCCTCCAGACCTGCTGCCCATCATCCTTTGCCACCAAGGGACACAATTACCAAGTGACCATAGGTGAACTTCAATTCACCAATGATGATGGCCGGCTCTTTCGCCTTCATTCCCAATCTGATTAGCCAACTGGTGGCCATCTTAACTTCATGGACGGAGCTGGATGGCAGGACATCCTCCAAGCCACTGGGGTCCTCAGTGGATCTGAATCGATCTCTGATCTCTGAAATCTGGCAGGTGAGAACTACAGAAGTCCCAAGTTTTTTGCCAGGTCATGTGCCTCCAAGTTTCCGGGAGATCGATGTCCATGACGAACACCTGTCCTAACCTTTGGGCCTAACCTTTGGGCCTAACCTTTGGGCCTCTGAGGCCTTCGAGCTTGTCTCTGCTTCAATGTCAACACTGCTGACCCGCGGGAAATAACACGGAGTGTGCCAAAAAGTGATGGACCATTTTAGTTAAATGTTGCTTGCCCGGCTTCATACATCCCAATTTCAACCAAATTGCTGCGGGGCCATGGGACACTAGATGTGAAGACGAAGTGATGGCTGTCATAGACTCTTGCATAGATGATGTATATAGTAGAATGCAACTGTGCCCCAAGAGCCTGGGATACGGGATTATTAGTGTAGTGATGATGGCGGGTGGTCGGGTGGCTTATAGTGACCATGGTGGCTTAGTGATCCACGGCAGAATTGAAGCATGCGAAAGCGCGGTGTCCTGCTTATCTCATGTTGGAAATGTTTGCCAAGCGCGATACCAATGTGACAAAACGTGAGATGGAAATCAGTCAAGATCCATGCGCCCCACAAAGATTGTGACACGTGCCAATACTACTATATAAATATTGTCTATCAATGACTCAACCATCCAAAACATGGCCAATCTTAGATACCCTGCGGCAACAATATACAAGTGGTATAGCTTATCTAGATTATTTTAGATTTATTTAGTGCATACTTCCAAATCATGGTCAAACAATTAGATGTATACTACACTATAAACTTAGGTGCCGTGTGGAAAAAAATATGTCTATATAAACATGTCTAATTGTTGTCTATAGCTTTTGGCACATATGTGAAATTCATGGCCAGAAAATCAGTGGGAGTTTCCCATGCCATAAACCTACCAGTTGGGGATGGTTTATACATGTTTATACAATCCATTTATGGCCTTGGATGGTGTACTCTTGGGTTTACCATGGGTTTACCATGGGTTTACCATGGGTTTTCCACATGAAACGATCCATCCAGCTGGTTGGCCCAGAAATGTCGTTTTTTTCTGAGGCTTGCACTCTCGTTATACGACACATCGCTGCGAATCTTGGCCACGGCCTCAGGGTTTTTTTCCGGGGATGGGAAGCATGTTTCGACGGAAATAACAATGGGGGGAGCAAATGTATGGCAAATGTTGGTAAAACATGGTGAATCTATGTGAATCTGGTATCATTTGTATCTAAAACTCTGTTTGAATCTGGCTTTAATGACAATTTTAAGGTGCCATCATTGGGGCATACAATGTGGAAACATCTATGCAAATGGTTCGGGTGTGCTTGCGCAAGACCTGCTGCTGCTTTCCTGCGAGGATCTTCCTGTTCAAAGCCTTGTCCAAGAACCTCTCCGTGGCTGTTATTAACTGTAACATACTACAAATAGCTGTAACATGCTGTAACTACTTACGACCTCTGGTATTGCTCCTGCGTGAAGCACAACATGCAGAACCATCTCGACACGTTCAGGTCAATTTCATGGCGACACACCTCAATCCACTGCTGTCGCCATTCTTCAGTGGCCATGGTAGGCACCTCAGACAGAAGCCAAGGATCAAGTGCCGCCTTAGATTGAACTGAAACTAAGTCTTTACATGTCTTTAGTAATAAAGCTGCACCAAAAATGAGCCCAAGACCACTGCCTGTAAGATCCGTAACGTTTTCTTTCTCCCGATCCGGGACTTACTTGCATCAATTTCAAGAGCCTCTTTGCAGCCCTGGCTAGAAGTCAAAGTATGTATATGATACAATAACCTTCATCCAGCAAACTAGGCTCCAAACTGGTTGGCAACCACAGGGGGATGATGGGTACGAGCTGATGCTGAGGCAAGAATCAAAAGGCTGAGGCCAAATTCAATAATACTGCCAAACGCATATGATTCCCTGTCTTCATGCGGTATGGAGGGTAGTGGAAAATCTTGCTCGATGTTTGAGCTGAAAGGCTTCGGGGCAATTGAAAACCAGACCTGTTTTTTCGCAGTGCGGTGATCACCGGTGATCACGTCTTCAACCCTTCAGGGGCAATTCAAGTGACCTCAACAGTCCGAGGGTAGAACTTGGTAGAACCATGTAAAAACCAACATTTACTATGGCAAGTTACTATGGTCTGTCATTGAAGCAACCCATGCAGAAATATGCAGAAATTCTGTACGCAGCTGAGTTGCTGATGTTGTGCACCCTATGACATGCCTCCGCGGCATCTGGCAGGGCTGCTCGGGCGTAGGAATTAAGCACCGCAGCCTCAGGCGCATGTGTGGGGAGCCCTGACCAATCCCAAGGGTTTCACAGTCAAATTGTGTCAGTGAGGGGTTACCCCACTGACGGGGCCACGATTTTGAAACATACGTATCCCGCGTATCCCACCAATGTCAGGACCGGCCAAGCATATCGAAAAATTGATCCAATGGCGTTACCATAACGGCCATCCTCACCGCACCACTTCCCCTCCACTCAGCTTGTCACATAGCAGGCCTCAAGTGCGGGGATGCCGGAGGCAAAATTGTCCCATCCCTTACCAACCCGGGATCAATTGCTGGGGCTGCGACCACATCAGCGGATCTAGCCGAAGCCTCTGCCTGCGGTAAAATCCGCTGACTTCGGCAGAAGGCGGAGCATGGAGCGCCGATTTGAAAGGGAGAACAAAGATATAAAACGAGCACGCACACAATCACACACAGATATACATGTGTGTGTGCGCGCGTATATATATATACTGTGTATATATATATATATGCGCGGCGCAGCAACATTCATAATGCCATAATTTAACATCATGTATATCATACTATCAATTTATATCATGTTAACATGTTACATTGTGTATCATTGTCTTATATTTTATTTTCCGATACTTTCCATGCCAAGTGATACCAGAGCCCAAATTTCACCAGCGCTCCACGTTTCATGGAGTCGCCTTGCTCATATCTACCGGTCTCACCTCCCCTGCCTGATTTAGCCAATGTTCAGCCCGCTGGGGCCTTGGCAAAATGCCATGGCCGCCATGGGTTGCAGAAGACCTCTGAGCACCAAACTTGCCGGCAGCAGTAGCTGCATGGATGACGGAGCTGTAACCTGTGCCAGTGATGTAGCTGGTTAAATCCACAGGTTTGTCTGCCTGTAGCGATCGGATGTCTTACCATATGAATCATATCATATCATATGAGACTGAAGGGTGAGTGTGCAAGGCGGGGGGCACTCACTATTCACCCCACCAAAAAAATGTGGGGCTTGAGGATTCTTGATCCACCGCATGTAGAGGCAACAAGCAATCGTATTATTGCATGCTTCGAATTGCTGTCCCATTTTTGATCTAGAGCGCAAATGCCAACCCAAAGGACATCTTGGAACGATTCTACAGTCTGCCAAGACTAGCTGACTGGCAATCACTTGTTTCCCAAGTATCCATGTGGCATCGTGTAGTATATGTAGTATTGTATGAATCATCCGAACCAACAGGTGCCAATAGGCAATAGGACAGTAGGTGAAAAGTACCAAATTACCCAACTTACTGAGAAATACTGAGAAGCCCGGCACGCAGAGTCTGGAATCACCTGCACTTCAACTGTCAGGTTTCAGCTGTATTTTCTCAGTTCATCTCCATTCACCACAGTTGTAGCCAGGCCAATAACAAGATGTTTCATTCCAGCAACAGAAACCCGCATTTGCCCATTCTTGGCATCATCCTGCCCTGTGATGCTGATAGGGAAGAAAGTACTGCTGCCTCATAGGACTCGATGGACTCCATAAGGCTTTCACACCTGGGAAAAACTGGAGAAAGAGAAGAAATCACATCCCATAAAATAAACACGAGCTGAAGTCGTTCACCGGATGATCTAGGGACACCACCCTTCAAGATCCCTAGCTCGAGCCAAGGCATAGAGAACTGTGGCGAAGGCGGCCTCAGACATCGCATAGGAAATCCTGAACTTCTGAACTTTCCAAAACGTATGGTCCGGTGTCTGGGACAGCCGTCCAAAACGTTGCACAACTCAGCTGCCCACCGCATCCAAGCGCAAACCATCCTGTCCGCAGATCTTGGAAGATTTGGGTAATGATCCATAGAAGTCCAAGAATATATAGAATATTGTAAGGCGGACATAGACAGAGAGCCTGGAAGCTTCTTGGACCTGGTGATGGTGATTATGCCTTGCTAGTCTGCAGCAATCGTCCGATCTCCTGCAATCAAACCTCATGATTACATCTTAACAAAAGAATGCGGCAAAATGTTACTGTACTTCTCTTGGGCAAATAAGTCATCCGGCGTCTTCGATAATACGATGGCCCGGGTATGGCACCATATGGCACCATCGCCTGGTGCGCGGAGGTCAATGTTTTCACTGCCCGCTGTGCGGAGAGCTGTGAGGAGTCACGGCCATAGGCCTGGAGAGCCAGATGGGATACGTCCAGGCCCTAGGCTAATAAGATCTAATAAGTTGATTGCTGGGAAGGGCACAGTGTTGATGCTTCATAGTCACATGTGTATATGTATGTATATATATATATATAAATATGTAATTAATAATTACTCTATAATGATATATATATATAACTATATATATATAAACAAAAAAATAAACAATCACAATGTGTTTGAGATAGACTCGGAACTTCAATCAGCTTCCAAGGTATTCCAAGGTGGGAAAGCATGGGAAACCTTCCCAAGTTCTGCTGGTTTCCACACAAGCCTTGATCAGCGTGGTGTATGTAATCAAATCTGGAGCAAGTCCTCAGCGTTCGAACATCCACCAGGTGGGCTGGTGAAGGGTTGATCCATGGCCGGAAGCTGCGGCTTTGGATGCTTCGGGAGATCAAGCCCCAGGGCCCCAGAAAGAACAAGACTAAGACATTGCATGACATTTCCAATCATAGACGATACTAATATCATCTAATATCGAATATACAAATCTTCATATATCTTCATATTGTACGTGCCGGTTGGCGGTTGATACGCCTCCAAGCAGTTCCACATCGGTGGTCACTGTCGATCAGATTATAACATATATTACAACTGCAGCTCCAAGGCTTGCACGTCGCTGGAAGATGTGGTCCATCACCTAACCAGCTGCTGGAGCTGTCCAACAGGTCAGCCAGAAGGACTCCAGGAACAAGTTGGAAAGAGATCAAAAACATATACTATATATAATTATATATATATATATACATGCACATATAAATAACTATACGTATGTATATGGGGGTTGTCCAAAATACCTTTTCCCGGACAGCCCTCAATCGCTCAGCCAATCGCGTAGCAACCGCGGTACCACAGTGAGCAATCGCGGAAGGGTTTGTTCTTCGTTGATCAGATCATATACATAAAATATAAGTTATGTATTATATAATGAGGATCCATGCGTGAACGCATTCGATTTCAAATTTGGGAACAAAATAAGCTCGCGCGGTCCGGAAACGGTCCGGAAAACTCACAGTAGTACCAGCAGCAGTAGTACTAGTAGTACTAGTAGTACTAGTAGTACTAGTAGTACTAGTAGTAGTCGTAGTCGTAGTCGTAGTCGTAGTCGTAGTAGTAGTAGTAGTAGTAGTAGTAGTAGTAGGAGTAAGAGTAGGAGTAGGAGTAGGAATAGGAGAAGGAGTTCTAGTAGCAGGGCAAGGGAAGAAAGGGAGAGGGAGGGAAAGAGAGAAAGAGAGAGAGAGAGGGAGGGAGGGGGAAACAGATGGTTGCGTTTGACCGGTTTCTGACGGGTTTCTGACTGGTTTCTGACTGGTTTCTGACTCGTTTCTGACCCTTCAGCGGAACTCGTGTCAATTGGATTTAAAAGCAAGAGCAGAAATTCCTAGGTGTACTAGTGGTAGTGGTGGTGCAGTAGCAGCGGGTGTGGTGGTAGTACTAAGAGTAGTAGCAAATCTAGTAGTGGGAGTAAGGATCCATGCGTGAACGCATTCGATTTCAAATTTGGAAGCAAAATAAGCTTGCGCGGTCCGGAAACGGTCCGGAAAACTCACAGTAGTACCAGCAGGACTAGCAGTAGCAGTAGCACTAGCAGTAGTGGTAGTGGAAATTGCAATAGGAGTAGGCGTAGGAGTTCTGATGGGAGGGTGAGGGAATAGGCAAGGGAGAGAGAGAGAGAGAGATTGCGTTTGGCCGGTTTCTGACGGGTTTCTGACTGGTTTCTGACTGGTTTCTGACTCGTTTCTGACCCTTCACACGAGTGCAATTGGATTTAAAAGCAAGAGCAGAAATTCCTAGGTGTACTAGTGGTAGTGGTGGTAGTGGTGGCAGGGTGGTGCAGTAGCAGCGGGTGTGGTGGTAGTGCTGGGGGTAGTAGCAAATCTAGTAATGAGAGTAAGGATCCATGCGTGAACGCATTCGATTTCAAATTTGGGAGCAAAATAAGCTTGTGCGGTCCGGAAACGGTCCGGAAAACTCACAGTGCACTAGCAGTAGCAGTAGCACTAGCAGTAGTGGTAGTGGAAATTGGAATAGGAGTAGGCGTAGGAGTTCTGGTAGGAGGGTGAGGGAATAGGCAAGGGAGAGAGAGAGAGAGGTTGCGTTTGGAGTAGGAGTAGGAGTAGAAGTAGGAGTAGGAGTAGGAGTAGTAGTAGGAGTAGTAGTAGTAGCAGTAGTAGCAGTAGTAGTAGCAGGAGTAGTAGTAGTAGTAGTAGTAGTAGTAGTATTAGTAGCAATGATAAGAGCTGAGGTGGATGGATGGATGGATGGATGGGATGCTAGGCAAGTGCTGCCTTTTTGGTGTTTCTGACCTGTTTCTGACCTGTTTCTGACCTGTTTTCAATTGGAGCTAGCTTGAATGTCCTTCTGACCTGAAAACATCTGCGCGGATTCCAATCCGCGCGGCCATGTCAATTATTGGCATGGTTCTGGTCTCGAAAGTAGTGATTGTAGTAGTAGTAGTTGTAGTAGTAGTAGTAGT